GGGAAGGTGTGTAAGTGTTAGTCGTGTGGGGATGCCCCCTCACGGGGGCGTACGTGTCTTTTGGTGTATTTGTCTGTCTGGTATATTGTTTGTCGGGGGTCGCAATTTTAAAGAAATGTATTCTAAAGTAATGAAAATAACTGATAAATAAGTAAAAACTTACCTGGGCATAACCCCGGCACAGGTGCTGTAACAAAGATGCCGACGGCGTCTATGCTTAAGCCGGGGATTAGGTCGGTGATTAAAAGGAAAGAAAGGGATTCTTTCCAGGTAGCCTTAATAAAGGCAGGTAGAATTTGCTCCTTGCACTACACTTTCACAAAACACGTGTGCTCTGGTCGGCTGCCCGCTAGGAACTCAACTTAAGTACGTCAATTACTATTGGTTATTATTTACGACCTTAACTGCGTAGTGCGTACAGCCGAAACATAAAAGTTTGTTATATTTTCTAACTCAATGGTTTTTGTCTTCTGTTAACTTCTGTCATTATTCTCTATGATTCTGCCTGATTTTGTTCCATTATTTCATTTAATTGCCTATCGTGTGGGTTTTGTACAAAAGTAATCCAAATTAAAAGACAATGTTTGGTGGAGGGCGAGCCCCAATTTTAGTGTTAAGTAGGTTTTTAAAAAATTTAAATAGTCACGTATTTTAAGTTAGAATTTGTTTTTTATTTCAGGTCAAAACACCAAACGAGAATCGGGCCGAAAAGTTCAGCTGGAGAACATAAATGCCGGAAAGGTATGTCTTAACACGTGAATTTTGTAAATTTAATTCGATTAAAATTAAGGCTAATGCAACGTTTAAATTTGAATTTTCGATTACAGTGTTTTTGTCCATACACATTTTATAAGTCATATAATATAGGTATAATTTGAAATTTAATTTTTTATATATTAATGTCGAAAATGCAGTATTTTTATAAAAGTTGGTTTATTTTTTACAAAATAATTTTTCAGCAAATTGCTGATGTAATTAGAACATGCTTGGGGCCGCAGGCCATGTTAAAAATGTTGATGGATCCTATGGGAGGAATCGTTATGACTAACGATGGCAATGCTATACTACGTGAGATCACAGTTCAGCATCCTGCAGCTAAAAGTATGATTGAAATTGCTAGAACTCAAGATGAAGAGGTGAAAATTAGTTAACAATAAAATGAACAAAACGGTTACTTTTGTACTTTGCTTTTTAGGTTGGCGATGGAACTACTTCTGTAATTGTATTAGCAGGCGAGATGTTGGCTGCTGCAGAACAGTTTTTGGAGCAACAAATGCACCCGACCGTTATTATACGTCAGTACAGGCAAGCCCTGGAAGACATGGTACAGTACTTAGAGGGCCCTTTAAGTGTACCAGTCGAGAGGAGCGATAAGGCTGCATTAGCCCAAGTAGTAAGTAAATTAATCGAAGTCGCTTGATCATTTACATTAACATGTATTAATGTATTAATTTTAGGTAAAAGGGTGTGTAGGAACAAAGTTCCTTAGCAAATGGTCAGACTTAGCCGTTAATATCGCCCTAGATGCAGTAAGTACTGTACTTCTAGAGGAAAACGGTAGGACAGAGGTGGATATAAAAAGATATGCCAAAGTTGAAAAGATTCCGGGTGGGTCGGTAGAGGAATCCCAGATTTTGAAAGGCGTTATGGTTAATAAAGACGTTACACATCCTAAAATGAGGCGTTATATTCAGGTTTGTTGTTTTACTGTAATTTTGAAGTTAAATTCAGAAGAATGATATATATTTTTTCCAGAATCCAAGGATAATTCTTTTGGATTGTGCATTGGAATATAAGAAAGGCGAATCTCAAACAAATGTGGAAATTACAGGAAACGCAGTAAGTTTTTGTTTTATGTAATATTTAATAATAATAATAACGAAATAAAGACACCATCGACCGAAGTGCTTCAACTTGTCTAATTCTAAAATAACTTACTTTGGGTATAATTTTTCTTTTAATTAATTTGATATGGAATTTTTTTCATGAAACCAGAAAAAGTCTATGTTGAAACTTTAATATTACATTTAATTTATTGAGAGACGAAAAACTACGCCTATTTCTTGTGCGGGGTTTTGCAGCAAAGTTTTTCATTCCAATTGTGTTGGTATTTCTTCTGAAATTATAAAATTATTAAAAACACCTGGTCTACGATGGTATTGCGATGAATGTGATAAAATGCGTAACGAGTATGAAAAAGNACTTTGTTAAATAAATAAATAAATAAATAAATAAATAAATAAATAATGATATTGAAAGGTTCAAAAAATTTTTTAAGGTAAAATATAGACAAGAATCTGCTGTACAGTGCTCCGATAACATCCATGTAAAAAAAAAGTTGTCGGATGGTACCCACGATTCCAAATTTCCAGTTCATCTGAAATAAATAGGGAATGTGGTTACACACGAAGTTTATTAATTTTTTTTTCTTGAACTTGGGATTTGAATTTGATGGTACTATCTCAGCTTATATAATTTTACTGCTATATTGTCACCCGTATTTATTATTTTAGGACTTTACTAGAATGCTGGAGATTGAAGAGGAACACGTGAAGCGCCAGTGCGAAGAAATAATCGCCCTGAAGCCTGACGTGGTATTCACCGAAAAGGGAGTTTCCGATTTGGCGCAACACTTCCTACTCAAGGCCGGCATCAGCGCCGTACGTCGAGTCCGTAAATCCGACAACAACAGGATCGCCCGCGCCTGTGGCGCCACTATCGTTAACAGGACAGAAGAATTGCAGGAATCCGACGTCGGGACAGGAGCCGGCCTCTTCGAGATCAAAAAATTCGGCGACGAATACTTCTGCTACATCACGGAATGCAAAAATCCCAAAGTAAGTGGTTTACGAAATTGTTAAAAATAATGTACTGTGCTGTAAATTGTATAATTTTCCTTATCTAGGCATGTACGATCCTGTTGCGAGGCGCGAGCAAAGATATCTTAAACGAAATCGAGAGAAATCTTCAGGATGCCCTGCAGGTGGCGAGGAATATCGTGCTTTCTCCCCGTCTCGTTCCCGGAGGGGGAGCCATTGAAATGGCTGTGGCGCAGCGATTGCTACAAAAAGCCACTCACGGGCCTTATAAGGCGTTGGCGCATGCTTTAGGTTAGTATTTATTTTTTTAAAACAATTAAACTTTATCTTGTGCTTATGGCAGCATTTTTGGCTAAATTAGAATTTAAAAAATCCGAAATTTTTCGAATGTCGACATTTCATCTCTTTACTGAGACCTCTTCGGTGCTCTGAATTAAAGAAGCAAGTTACAAGTCTTATACTTGTTTGTTTTATTTGAGAGTCCTGAAGATGTCTCGTTAAAAGACTCAAAACGTCTATATTCAAAAAATTGTTACCTAATTCTAGAATCTATCTTTTGCTCAAGTATACAGGATGTCCTACTTTTTTTTTATTTAATTTCCAGAAATAATTCCGAGAACGTTGGCCCAAAACTGCGGCGCCAACACCATAAAGACCCTAACAGCGTTAAGGGCTAAGCACGCGAACCATTCCGATCCCAACGTGCCCTGCGCTTGGGGAATCGACGGAGAAACGGGCCAGTTGGTGGAGCAAGACAAGAAAGGGCTGTGGGAGCCCCTGGCGGTAAAACTGCAGACGTATAAAACTGCGGTTGAAACGGCAATTTTGTTGCTTCGCATCGACGACATCGTGTCCGGATCTAAAAAGAAGGGCGACAAAGAAACGCCTACCCCGAGCCAGATGCAGCAACAGGAGGCCCAGGGGATGGAATGAGCACCTGGATAATTTTTTGTATGCTAATTTATTAATAATAGCTTTCTAATCGTTGTATTAATTATTGTCACTACTACATTTTGCAGTAACGTAAATTTCAACAGTTTTGATTACATTTTTTGTTTTATTTACCTTTTTTTTTTCATAGTGGTGAAACTTGGAGCACAAATTAAAGAAAAAAATGTAAGTTATTGGACAGGGTGGGCTGATTTCGACACTTTTGCGAGTTTTGAAATGATACACTAAAAGTAGTTCAAATGTTTCCATCTCAATTTACGAGAAATTTGATTTTGACACTCGCGAGTTTTTAAGAGGTACACTAAAAGTAGTTCAAATGTCTCCATCTCAGTTTACGAGAAAATTTCATTGAATGGCAAAATTCACATCTTTACTTTTATCTTTTAAAAAATTCTAAAAGTAGTTCAAATGTCTCCATCTCAGTTTACGAGAAAATTTCATTGAATGGCAAAATTCACATCTTTACTTTTATCTTTTAAAAAATTTAGGGCTTTTTGAAGATTGTGTATCCTAGCAAAGAAATTTGAGTTAAAGAAAAAAAGTTTGATACATTTGAACAAATTTCATTGAACAGCAAAAATCGCACCTCTATATCTCGATTCATTTAAAAGATGCAGGACTTTTCCAATTTTAGTTGTTTTTTTATCATAGCAAAGAAGCTTATTAAACTTATTGAAACAAATTAAATAAAAAAGTTGTTATTGGACAGAGTGGGCTAAGTTTTAGTATTTTTGGAGGATATACACTAAAAGTAGTTCAAATGTTTCGAGCTAAATTTATGAGAAAACTTCATTGGCACAAATCACATTCTATACCTTGATTTTTTAAGTAATGTAGGGCTTTTTCAATTTAGGCTGTTTGTCCTAGAGGTGAAACTTATAAGCACAAATTTAAAAAAAGTTACCGAGCAGTTTGGGCTAAACCCAATACTCTGGGGAAGATGTACTAAAAGTAGTTCAAATGTCTTGTGCTCCATTTACGAGAATATATCATTGAATGGTAAAGATCACATGTCTATATCTTGATTTGTTCAACAGATGCAGGACTTTTCCAATTTTCTTTGATTTTTCATCATAGGGAAGAAGCTTTTTAAAACAAACATGAAATAAAAAAGTTGTCATTAGACAAAGTGGGCTAACTTTAACGTTTTTGGAGGAAATACACTAAAAGTAGTTCAAATGTCTCGAGCTAAATTTACTAGAAAATCATTGGCAAAAATCACATTCTGTATTTTAAAAAATGTAGGGCTGTTTAATTTAGTTTGATTGTCCCAGAGAAGAAAGATAAGCACTAATTAAAGAAAAAAGAAATTATCGAGCAGGCTGGGCCAATTTCAATATTTTTGGGAGCTTGGGACAAGATACACAAAAAGTAGTTCAAATGTCTCGAGTTCCATTTACGAGAAAATTTCATTGAACAGCAAAAATTGCACCTATATTTCCATTCGTTTAAAAGATGCAAGACTTTTCCAATTTTTAGTTGTTTTTCATCACAGGGAAGAAACTTATTAAACTTACTGAAATTATTATTAAATAAAAAAGTTATCATTGGACAGGGTGGGCTAACTTTAATATTTTTGGGGTTTTTGGAGGAAATACAATTCTCTACCTTCATTTTTTAAGAAATGTAGGGCTTTTTCAATGTAGGTTCATTGCCCACAGAAGAAAATTATAAGCACTAATTAAAAAAAAGAAAGTTATTGAACAGGATGAACCAATTTCAATAGTTTTTGGCGTTTCGGAGAAGATACACTAAAAGTAGTTCAAATGTCTCGAGTTCCATTTACGAAAAAATTAAATTGAATGACAAAAACACGTCTCAATTTATTTAAAAGATTTAGGGTTTTCCAATTTTGTTTTTTTTTTTTCTAGAGATAAAACTAATGAACACGAATTATTATCTTTTTATGTAAAAATAAAAAAATTTCACAAATAAAAGTTAATCAATATCATGAAAGTTACTAGTACTCTTTGGGAAACATGAAAAACTTCAGAAGTATCAAAATTGGTCCATTAAACCATTAATAGAAACAATAGGCATGATTTAATGTTTGTAATGTAAATAAAATTAAAAATTTCCTACCTGTCCAATGAAAAAGTATCTGAAATAAAAAAATGATTGACAGTTGTTTCATTTTCAAAACAATAAATTCAAAAAAAAAATTAAGAAGAGTGAGACATTAAAAGAATCATAAAAAATATTATTTAAATAAAACGCAAAAGAAAAAGGTGCAGGTAACAATTCCATCTTGACCTAAATTTCTTGGCTCACTCTGTAGATATGAATATTTCAAAACACTAGAAATTTAAATGCCACATAGGTATTTAAATATGTCCCTGACAAAAATAAATGGCTAGCTCCAGTAAGTGGCAGTGTTTATTTAAATTTAGAAATGAATGCCAGCATGTTTGTATATCAATAATAATTATTAAGTGAACGGCGGGCTTTAAATAATTAATTGTAACATATACATGTGTGTTTTGTAAGTTGTCTATATTCTTGAACTATAATTAAATCTGTTCTCATAAATGCAAATGATGATTTAGAATTTAGAACAAATGATGAATGCAATAAACACTTCAAGGACTTCTCTATTTATAATAATTGCTAGCAAATGTTCTGTAACTTCCTAAACAAATGATTAATGAATCGTTTCAATTTAAAAATATAAAGAAGTAAGTAAATTATAATGTTATGTGTGAATTAATATGCAAAGTTAAGCAACTGGCTGAGCAAGAATGCTTTCTCTCCTTTTTTAGGTCAGATGTAAACAATCTTCAGATAAGGATTTGGTATCGTAAATCACGTGTTTCTGTTTACCTTTTGTAATAAACTGCATAATATTGCCCTCAGTCAGCTATTTTTATTTCATGTGCTTTAGAGGAAGAGGAAAATGATATTTTTAATTTTACTGTTCACACTATTTCCTTTTAATGGGGGTATTAATTTAACGTATATTGTTAAAAAGGACAAAATTAAAATACTGCCAAGTTGCATCGCAGAGGAATTCGAAAGATATGAAGCCGTTGGTTGGGTGTATCCCATACCCAACGAAGAGCAAAGAATTCCAAACATTAGTAAGTATCATCGTCATTGCATGTAAATAAATACATATGAAAAATATCTACAACACTAAATACTAATTTAACTCAATATTTATTACTTTTTAAAATTATTTTAGCTACCAAATTTATTCCCACAATAAATAGTGATTACAACTGCAAATTTTCCAAAAATAATATATGCTCCACAAAATGGATATTAAGGGATTGGACTATAGACGACAATTCAGCTAGAACTAAAGAATTTATTACTGATTATCGATGGGAAGGTAAAACATAAAAATCGTTATATACCTACCTCTCAAATATTTAATTTTAGAGATTAAAGTAATATTTTTTTAGATCTTCAGCCAATATTAATATCAAATACCACCAAAGAATTCGAGGAGAGAATAGAAATCGATAACGTATTTAAATCCGGCATTTCCGTCAGAGCTAACGGTATAATCGAGTTGCTAGTTTGTTCCGGATGGAACCCTTACAACCATCCTTGCTACCATTTTCATATTGACAAGACAGAAATATATCTCAATAAATATTCAGCTCTACCACAGGATTTAAAGAACGTTAACTTAACGTATTTAGAACAGTATAAGGTAATTTAGATATCGTTATCGTGTCATATAATTTTATGTACTTTTTAGGCATTTTCAAATATTTTCTCAAACGACGAGTGGAGGAATTTTGTCGTCAGTTTCGATGCAAATAGGACTATTAAATTAATCGACGTGAATTTAAACAGGACTGTCATTAAGCATGTCGATGAGGGAAACTTCAGTCCTATGTATTTGTTGGTGCGCAGCAACGAAACAAGTTTATGGAAATTTCATAAAAGTAAATGCTTTTTTCGCTATAACCATTATACAATTTTTTTCTCTCGCAGTTTAACAAGTTCTCTAAATTTAATAACTATATCGTACCATTTCAAACAAATATTAATTTGTTATTTTTACCTAAGAATATACAGGGTGTTTCATAAATGCAAAATGAAATTACAAAAAGTTATTCTTTGGCCTAAATTTTGGGGTAACAATTTTTGAATATTTTGGATATGATAAGGATGAAGTAGATTATGTCTTATAATTCGACGAACCGTTGGATGTAGTATTAAATAGTTTCAATAATCGCTTAGTGCTGATATGAGGGTCATTTTCAATACTTCTCAACTGCATGGCATTCTGATGAGATTTAATAAGTTTGAAACCGATCTACTAATATTTTAATTTTGTGTATGTCCTTTAGTTAGGAGAGTAAATAATATATGTTTTCAATTTACCAACTACATATTTCAGACGAATTTTTCTTTACAAACACCACACAGACAAGCCGTCTGGGACCAATGCTAACGTTGCACAATAAAGATCTGTGCATATCTTTACTTTTGTCGGTGTGCGAGAACTGCGAGATAGTCTTCTTTTACATGCACCAGAAACAAAGGAAAGTTTTAAAAACCGTTGGACACTTGCAGGTAGCTAGAAAACCGTTTCTGTTAATATAGCGTATAATTTCATAAATCCGTATTTTAGAATGTGCGTTGGATGGAAATAAAGATTAAGGAGGAGAATATACTGAGTGATAAGCTAAATTTATTCGTAGAAACCAAATTCAAGAATCCAGAAATAAAATCGGATGGATTTTGGGGCATAGACAACGTTAGGGTGTGCAACGAAAACGGTAAGGTGTCTTTATATGCAGAACTTTGTTATTTGCCCTTGTTTTCTTGCAGAAGTTAAAGTTTCTTATTTAAAATTGAACGATATGGACTTGGATGATGAGAAAGAGGATTATGTATCTTGCCAATTGATAAAAATGCCAAGTTGGAGACCCAGAAGGCTTGTATATAATAAAATAAAGGGTAAGAAGGTTCGCTGTTCAAAATATTTTGTGATTAGATTTTTTTTAGATTTTCCGGAGATTACCGCTGTTAGTAATTCCACGTCAATTAAATTATCTTGGCCAGAGGAAGATACTAGAAATGAAATTAATTATTTTATAATGTATCAGGTACTGTTACAAAGTCAGAGTGTAACTAAAGTGTTTGCTAATTTTTTATGGTTCTACATCATGTATTAAAAAAAACAATTCCTATAAACACGTGTCTTGAAACACTAATTTTCAAGTTAAGGCTGGTGTTTTATAGACAAAAAATCACACTTTTATTAAGACAATGATAGAACAAGAAAATCCCTCTAAACTATAAAAAATTTGGAATACAAGGATTCCTTTAATTTTCCATAGTGACAAAAGTTGGACATAATTGAGAAATATTTTTGGAGATTTAAATGAGAACAAAAGAAATGACAGTTCACATAAGTTTGAAATAATTTTACAAAGAATAGACTCAAAATTCTTGGAATGGTTGCCTACTTTTAGGGTAGAAAACTAAAATTTTATAGCAAAAAGTTACAATAAATCAACTTTGTAGTGACATCGCTAAAACAAATAAGTTTTTTCGAAAACTGTCATCAAAAGTCGACATTTTCGTTGAACGACCCTAGCTGTTGCACTAGGTGTTGCGAGTATAATTCAATGCCGGTAGGGGCATATATCCCTCGGAGTAGTTGTTTCTCGCAACACTGACAATTAAAACATTGTCTTCGCCCTCTGTGGGTGGCAGTCGTGCAACAAGTACCTGCAATATAGCAGGACTTTTTCGGAAGGTATGCAACTAATTTTTTTTACATATGGTATTAGTTTTGGAAATTTTCTGATATTTACATTTTTTTTGGTATTCAGTGTACTTTTTAACATGGAATATACTGACCACATCGTCAAAGGTTTAATTTTATTAATTTTATGTTCGAAATATGCCAGTAATACTGCTTCGGACACTTTTTGAATTTTCTTCGAACTACACCACCCTTTGAATTTGTTGTACGCAATCTCGGACTGTCTCGACGATTTTTTTGGGGATTAATTGTGAAACAGCACTTTGTGCCGCTTCCAATACTTCCCCTGGTAAATGCTCGTTTTCACTTTCCGAGCTCATTTTCAATTAAACACTCTTTGAATATGAATTACAATATATAATTGTGACACTACTTTTTCAAACAACTAATTTTTATGGTTTATTAGGTTGCTATCGGTTGATGGTCACAGCATCTTGATTCAAACAGAGTTCAAATGATTTCAAATATAAATTGAATTGTTGTATATAACACAATTCTCTTATTTTATTGCAGTTTTCGAAAAAATATTGTTTGCATTTCGAACACGAAATGCTTTTGCATTCTCAAATGGAGATTTTGCCTAGCTAAGCTCGGCACAATAACTTCCATTCTTGAACAAAATAGTACCATTTCGCGTACTACATACAAAAATAACTATTTTTAAATTACAATTACATTTTTGATTTTCTAAAAACCTATGAACATCCCTCAGATTCTTTTTTCATAATTTACATTTCGGAGATGGATTTTCTTCAAAGATGTTTCAAATTAACATTAAAGGCTTTACAAAAACGTGCTCTGCAACAGCATGTCAGCAAAATGTCACGTATTGCTAGTAGTGCCACAACATCAAGTTATTTTTGAAATAACGAAAAAAATTGAAGTAGTGGATAACACAGCCCCACAAAAAAAAATCATCTAGGCCACGCACCAGACCAGTGCACCATATTTTGACCCTAAGAAGAAACTCCTCTGGAAAGCGGTCATAGTAGTCACTGATTGGAAAAATATTGGTAGGTATTTTTAATTTCAGTGCACCATATAATCCGTAACTTACTAGCCCGTTAATCTGTTATTTGAATGATTTTGATTGCAAAGACTTATGGTCACTGATTGGGCAGTCAAGTGCAATATCATAAATTCAAATACTTTTCCAATCACTGGCCACTGAAGAGGAGTGCCTTGATGTTAAGGTCAAAACAGAAACTGATTGGGGATTCCCAGATCCCACGTCAAACTACAAAAATTATGTACATTATAGGAACTGTTTATATCGATGTAGAAAAATAACATTATACAATTTGACCAAAAATCTCAGTTACACTCTGTGTAATAATTGTATAAGATTGGAATATTTTTCAACGCCACCGCCTAATATTTGCATACGGCTAATATTTTTTAGGCAAATGACGTTTGTACCACCGAGCCTTACAGTGCGAGAAGACTGAAGTCTAGCGGATTCCTGACGACGAAATATAACGAAGTAATCATAAATAATCTAGTGCCATTCACTCTGTATAACATAACAGTTTCAACTGTTTTACACGAAGTGGATAAACAAGTGTATGTTAATACGTTGGAAACAGGTACATTAGCATAAGTAAAAGCAAACGAATTAACATACATACATTAAAAGTAGATTCCAGAATAAAATTAATAACATATTTCAATTCTACGTTTTTTTTTCAGAGGAACCTACTTTTAAGGAGTTACCACAAAAAATTCAATTAAGGGCATCCGATTCAACAATATACGTGTCATGGGAAAAAGTACCTTGCACAGAAATATACGGCAAACTAATTTATACGTTAACTATTAACAATGCCGTGTTAAATTTCACCAAACGAGTATCGTCGCAAACGGTCACTAGTTATGAGATAAACGGATTGCAACCTTACACCCCTTATTCATTGAATATCGTAACGGCCAGAAATGCGGCGAACATCCACAAGGGGGTCCATACTAACACGATGGTCCTGAACTTTACAACTCTACCTGGTGGTGGGTTATATCTCATAAGATTGTCGATTCACATCCTTTATAAGTTTTTTTATACATTTTCAGTTGCTCCACCTATTGAAAATCTGGAACTGTATTCTATAGACCACAATTCTTCGTCTTTGCGTTATGACCTGCCGAAAAATCTAAACGGAAAACCATCAAAAATTCAGTTGTACCGATGTATCACTACGTCTCACAGTAAATGCAAGTCTTACATCTTCCAGGTGAAAAAGTGTCCTCTGTGGCCGAAAAAATTTTGCGTTTACGTGTACAATCTAATGCCCTCCCAGCAGTATTCGTTTAGGGCGAGTCTGAAATATGAAAATTCAGACAGTTTTGGTAACGAGGTTTCCGTTTCTGGGTACACAGTGGACCGCGGTAAGTCATCTTAGTTAAATTTCTTATTTTTGATGAACATTAATTTTAGTGCCTGGAGCCCCGACAAACGTAACTTACAAAGTCGTCGACTGTCACTTATCCACTGATTATTGCCACCTAAATGTAACGTGGTTGCATCCGTACAAGGAAAACGGCACTATCACATCGTTCAACATAATTTTGAATAGTACAAAGAAAGATGCGATTAGTGAAGTTACCGAACATATTCATGAAGTGTACAAAGTTGAGAATAAATCGTATTCACCGAAGTATACTCACCAGGTAATAAGCGAACATTAGGAAATAAATACTATTGTACTGTGATCTTTTTCGTTTTAGATTAAATATTTGCCATATAGTGCTTCGTATATATTGTATTTACAGTCGGTAAACACAATGTATAAAAGCGGTTTTACCGAAACAATGATTAAGACTGACGATTTAGGTGATCACATAAACCAAAGCCCTAAACTTTTAGAGAAAACCGATCACAGTTTGTCGTTTAAATTACCATATCTTGATCGGAGATTAGATTCTTATAACTTAACGACGATCGTACAAGATTTCGACTCGAAGAAGGACATCGAACCTCAGTTCTTGAAAGATAAGTTGATTCGTGACAACTTGTGCCATAAATTTGGAAATACGTGGATATCTCACGTGTTAAAGGTAATATGAAAAATCTATCTTCATCGCGAAGAACAAAAAGAGCTTTTTAATGTTGCAGGTTGAAAAAAACAGTACTGAAACCCTAACGATAGACAGCTCAGAAAAAGGAAAAATAAAACCTAAAACTAAATATTGCGTAACTTTTATTATCACTAATAATTACAAAGGTGCAGAACACAATGTGGTTTATTACGAAAAGCTAGAGACGCCTATTGCCCCTCCTGTGAAGGAATCGAATAGCAGTAATAATCATTTGTATATTTTACTGTTGTTACTTCTTTTAATTCCTGCAGGATTTTTTATATACAGGTGAGAAATCTTAAGCTTTTAGTGACTTAACCACTAGAAAAATAGTGCCAATGAATTAATATACATCGATTTCTAGGTGTTTGAGGAAGAGAAGAGTAATATCGAAACCTGCGGAAAATAATGAAAATGTATACGAATCGTTGCCGTTCGAAGAGTGCGAGAGCAACTGCGTTAGCAATGAGAACTACGATCAATTAATTCACAAGTGATTCTATTGAATCTTATGTCTACTTACACTGACTGTGATCTTTACTTTTTCACCATATTAATATCACTGGTTTTTATAAGTTTATATTGCATGTTAAAAATGATTCACTAATAATTTTATTTAAGTCCCAAGGTTTTATAATCTCTAAACAAAGTATATCGAATATTAAAAATAATTACCTAACACTTTTTGTAAGCTGTGAAAAAATCCTAACCAGTTATATTTAGTTTGGTAATCAGTGGGCCAAATTGTTGGGATTATTCTCCGTGAGAACAAATAACTTATTCTAGGTTTGATCTAGCAAATCAAATGGCGCAACTTAAAATGAAGTCTTGGAAAGGATCCAAAAAATTTGGTCTACCAATTATATGTGTCATTTTTTGTTTTAATAATTGTTAATATTTGTTTCTAATTATACATGTAATTATTAATAAACGTTCATATATTAACTGTTGATAAGAGCAAAACTTTCAGTCATAATTCTTTAATAATCTGAAAATGATTGTTTTATGTTAAAGCAGATTACTTAAAAACGTAACAGTAGAAGCACAAAATAATTGTTAGATTATTCTGTGGTAGAAGTGTGTTTCTTTAACTTCAATTATTTAACAATGTTTTGAGTACAATTAATCTCCAATAAACGAAATTTTTAATTTTTCTTATATTGCAAAACATTTTCCTTATTTATAATAAAATACTCTTTAAAATAAATACCTGTATCTTGAAAAGTAGGATTTAAAAATTTTTACGCTTTCTATTATTAAATATGGTAAATTACTATCGCCCCTAAGTAGGTTCCGAAAAGCGACATTTTTCCGGTTGCTGGACAAAAACTACAAAAAGTTATTTCCACGAGCCGTGCCGTTACCACAATGAGACCTACGCCAGTAGGTATAAAGTTATGCTTTGTACCAGTAGGCATGATTAGCATATGACATATATTTTCTAGGATATCTCTGTCTCACATACAAAGTTCAAGGAAATAATCCAATTGCTTTTTTGTATACAGGGTAGGAAAGTACCGATGGTCTGTCTGAAGTTACGTGAGAGCGATAAAGTAAGCCATAGAAATCCATGTGATAAACAAGAATGGGTATAGTGAAGGCGTCTAATAGTCACCGCCCATTTCGCCCTTCCACAAATAAGAAGTGGATCTTATAGTAAAAATTCCCTTGAATTTACCGTACCTATTTCCAAAACACCCTTTATATGATGAAAATAATGGCGTTAAGGCGTAATCAGCTAGACACGTCGACTTTGTACCGAGTGCTGTGATTTAGGAGACGAGGTTAAGGAGATCGTTGGGACTACGTTGGTAGAGGTGTTCCAATATCTAATGAGCCGCGAAATGCGCGAAAGGCGTGGCGTATCCGCATAATTCTTCTAATAAGCACGTTGTGAAAACATTGACTCAGAACTAGACCACGTGCATCATTACAAGTAGAAATGAACTAAGGTGCTCGGGCATCAATAAAGTCAACTGGCGAACGTTCGTTATATAAATTTTTATTGCTTAAATTAAAATAATAAAGAATAGGGCATTTTATTATGATATTTGTAATCGGATCAAAGGCTTGTTTACGCAATGAGAGCTCGAGAGAGACTGTGAATAATAGGTGCAATGTTTTTAGGACGTAGAATAATTAGGCGACGGTCGGAATTATGTTTCTGCGCATATGAAGGTTAAAGCTCATAAGATTTTAAAACACCTCTACATCTCACGTCCTAACAGGGAGCAGGGGGTCCGTTCTGTAATTAGCTTCAGTAGAATTTCAGTAAAACGCAGTAAATATTTTTGTTGAGAGGAGATGGCAACCTCTTAGGGAAATCAGTGGACAAACCGAAAGAAGAATGAATGAACACACAGTATCTTGCATCAATAAGATTAGTTAACCACAACCCCTCAACAAAAATTTTAGTGCGTTTTACTAAAATTCTAATTACGGAACGCACACCAGGTTTAAATGTCAATATTGTCTAGTCTTCCTGGTCAATACTATGGAACACAAATTTATTTTTCTTTGTAACGTAATCTTGACAATTGACTTTTGACATTAAGTCCGCGCCGTTATTTGATTTGTTTCTAGAATAATTACGTAAAAATAAATCACTAATCTCTTGATTGGTTCTGTCTAGCAGAAAATGGAAATATGAAGTACAGTTTATGTCGTTAGCAATTTGTTAAAAAAGGTAAATTTTCAATCTCTTTAAGCGGCGTGCTCAATTTTAAATTTAATTTGTTTAAATTTGAAAAGCTGCAAACAGAAAAGAAGTTTATTTTTACAGAACAGACAGGGAACATACTATATAAGCGTATTATTATACACAAGCACTTCTTGGCCTTCTCTCTCGGCTACGACCTTGATTATTTTTTGGCGGTATTTGACAAAATGCGAGAAAATTTACATGTCCCATATTTTTTCTAATTCTTGAACAAGTTCAGGGATAAAATTTCAAAAATGGAAGATGCTAGATTTTCCATCACAAACTTCTTTTGATGTTGATATTTATGGACGACGCTGCGATCCAGCCGATTACGAGAAATGTGAAAGATTTTTTGTGATTGATACCATTACAAAATGGAGATTAATTTGATGCTCTATTTTTTATATAAGATAACTGCCTTAAAGCCTTTGCGCTGCGCATGTGGGATGCGGGAAATCAATAATATATAACAGTACGCAATGTGATCAAAAGAAAATTCCCGTGAACTTTCCTCAAAATAATCGATAAAAATGTTTATAATCACGTACCGTTTTCATTGCACCACGTAAGTAGTAAAGAATTAAAAAAATACGTCCCCTAAATTAAGAAGAATAACTCGAAGATGCCTAAAAAATTAGATTTTAGCGTTATTTTTGCGACAAGTAAGTGAAGTATAATTGGTTTTACATCTACACAAAAATGAGAATTTTAGGTGAAGACCCGAAATACCGGTCGGCGGAATTAAATATACACGGTCCGACTGTAAAGGGATGGCAATCGGAAAAAAAATGCGAGTATCCTCAAGAAATAATTTTAAAGTTGGAAAGAAGATGTGTACTGACCAAAATCCAGTTATTAACCCATCAGTATTTAATTCGTAAGTAGGCGCATAATTTTTTTGTAAGAAATACGTTAAATTAATAATATTTCTTCTTCACCTCTTTCAGCTTCAAAGGTAGAAATATTTTTAAATAATGAGGACACCAATACTATAGAAAACGTGTCACTTATAACCTGGGAATATTTAGGATATATAACATTGTCCGATAATCAGGGCACGGAATTCAAAAGTCGAGAGTTGAAATCTGCAAATGTGCCCAAGAAGGAAGCAACGTTTGTAAAAATGAATTTGCATAGAAACCACGAAAATATTTATAATATTAATAATCAGGTACGGTCAATTACCAACGAAAATTTTTAATAAAGATTTCAGAACTGAAATACTGATCCTTGTGATTTTTGTGTTTGTTAAATCTTCAGGTCAGTCTTATCGCTATTAATTTCATGGGTATGGAAATCGAGCTGCAGCACGTGTCGATGAGTGAGAATTCCACTAAGTTAAATGATCTAATAAATAATCCCGATTATACATCTCCTTATGACGATTTAGCATTCGAGATGTACGTGGATATCGATATTGCTAAAGTTATACGTGAGATGGAAAACAAGAAGCATTTGGCTGTGATAAGTAGGTAAAAAGGCGCAAAGGCCAATATACTCAATCGGTTATTCAAACTGTTTTTTTTTGCTAAGTACATTCTTAGAATCGAATAAAGGCAATTATTTATTTTTAGACGAGAGATTTGAATATGCTAGGAAGTTAAAAAACACTATATTAAAATTAAGAGCTGCTGGAGAAAAATTAGGAAAATATGAACTGGAAAAAAGGCACGCGATAGAAATGGAAGATTACGAGAAAGCTGGACAAAAGAAAAGCCAAATGGATCAGTTCAGAGTTGATATTTATCAAGAGCTCAGTATAGAACAATTGCTTGAAAAGGAAGGGGTATGTTGATTCTCGTTTGTCAGTATACGGGACTTTACGATTTACAGGCATACGTGTCATTAACATAATAAGTAAAAAACAAATGAAGTTTAATTTAAAACGGAGCGAAAATTGAAAGTAACTTCCTTAAAATTGAAAATTCTTTTTTTGAATATTAAATGAGAAAAATTAAACAAATGAAAGAAAAATAATGAAATAAACAAAAGCATGTCAGGAATTGAAGTGAGCTGTCAAAAGCAATATGATGATGTTCATGGTTTTCATAGCACTTCTAAAAATGGATAATTTGGTATTCGGATGAAAACAAAAGAATACCACCATTGTAACAATACATTTTGGCGCTCATAAAAAAACAAAAGTTGCACCTGTTTCTGGTTTCAATTAAAAAAATAAAAACAAAATTACAAATTTTAGTTTCTCGTGAATAATTTTAAAAAAGAACTTGGCAAATTATTTGTCATCAATTTCCGCAATTTTGCGACCATGTACCTCTTAAGACATCCGAGACCCCAATGCTACAGCTTGAAAAATGGGCACCTCGTATTCGAAAATATTTGATTAGATATTTTGTTAAAAAAGCCATATTTCCCAATCATACTCGAAAATGACAGAATTTTAATTTAATTCCCTTGCAGGTTTGTGCGAAAAACGATGAACTACACGACGACGCTGACAATGTCTCTAAAAATCTACTGTCGCCAGTTCTATCTAAAAACTGCGTTGATAAGAGACCGATCTCACCTAATCCCGTACACACTAGTCAGATATCCCCTTTGCACATGCCTAGGCATCAAAGTCCCAAATCTGGATCGCCCAGCACGGGAAGTCCGACAAATATCCAGTCCAGGGGTTCGTTCCGGAGGCGCAACAAATCGGCCGGGGCGATCATAAAATCCACTTACGAGATGTACGAGGAGAAGCCGTTGCCTGCTCTGAGGCAGTAAGTAATAATAATAATCATATTTACATCTCGTGATATCGTCTTCTTGCAACAGCATCATTTTCTCCTGACAAGAAATAGGCTCTAACTATACATTGTCTTAGTTCGCAGACGAACGAGTTTCTAAGGGAGTGCCAGTTGGATTCCGATCACAAGACAGTGTCGAAGCTGACGGAAAGGGAGAAGAAGCAGGCGGCTTTGCCTATTTTGGTTTTTGGGAACGATTTGGTAGAGAAGTTCTACTCGAAGCATTACTGCGATAAAGAGGAAGGATTAACTAGACTTAAGGAAGAATTGCTCTCGTACGATAATACAAAAATGCATGCGCCAAATAAGACTGCTAGAGCTGCGATATTTTTACTACATAGAGCACTAAGGGATAAGGTTTTTTCCGTCTACAATTTAGCCAATGAAGTTATACGGTTGTTTTTCGTGCAGTTTATTCCCGGCAGGTAAATCGGCATGCTTGTATTTTAATATACTCCAAAATAGTAGATTGCGAGTCACAAATAAAATAATTGTGGGGAATTTTAATGTGCCATTCTTTTCGCATAGTGTTCCAAATGTTGATATCATATCAGTTTCCAGCTAAGGCGTGTTACTGCATGTCATAAGCGTAAAAATGTGAAAGATATGTTAGTATTTTCACATTTTAGTTATTCCAATAAGTGTTTATGAAAATGGTACATGTGGGGAATGAGGTACTAACTACTATTTTGGGCCTAGACCATAGAGGATACTTTTTGAAAATGTGTAGTTTGTGCGATGCATTACAATTCTGTGTGTTTCAGAGTTGCTGCTACGGAAGTGGCTAGAAGCGTAGATAAACTATTACCAGAGCTATTAACAAAATCCGGAGATACTAGTCAGAGAGTTAATCAAATGGCAGTCCACACGATATTAACTATGGCGGATTGCAAAAACGTTAGGTAAGAACTTACAACTTACATTGATATAATAAAAAAAAAGTGATTAACATTGCTAGATTGTTTAGTTTGCTTTTGAAAATTGATCCTTCAACATTTTCAATTCTGATTTTCTCGAAAACCATCAAATATTGACAGGTATCGTTTTAATTGTCAGTGTTGCGAGAAACAACTACTCCAAAGGCTATATGCCCCTACCGGCAACACCTAGAGCAACAGCTAGGATCGTTTGTCAGTTTTCATTCATTATAAATGCTATGAAGATGTGAACAAAATTTTTTGCTTTATTTTCTGCACTATGGGTTGTTTTTAAGGGTTGAAACATTGCAATAAATCATGTATTATTATTTCATAAACAGTAAAAAATATTCAATTCTTCATTATTGCTCCGTCAAAACATTTCAGAGCCGCGAAAACTAATTTTTGTTTTTTTCCTCATAAAGGGTAGATTTTAAGGGTTGAAATGTTGCTACAAATCAAAAATTATTATTCAAAACATAAAAGAATGCTTATTCTATTGACATAACACTTAAATCTATGTTTTAATTGTCAGTGTTGCGAGAAACAACTACTCCGAGGTATAATTCAATGCCGGTAGGGGCATATACCCCATTTGCGCTCCCGCGTACAATAGGTATCGTTTATTCATACAACTTTTGAAAAATATATATGGAGTTTTCTTTAATTGTACTAAATGGATTATTAAGTTATATGATTAATTAATTATAATTATTAAAATTAATTAAATAATAACTATTTAACTTTAAGTGGGGGGTCAGTTTTTTAAGGGTAATAGTATGTTCCACTGAATACGAATCCAAAATTATTTTTTTTTTAATCAAATAAATACTTGAGTTATAATTAGTTTTTTTTTTAAATGCACTTTAGTACTTGTTTATGCCGTCACTGTAATATTCACGTATTACAAATATATGAATTGTAGGCAACCTTCAGTGCATGTGAAGGGAGTTAGTGCTGGTCAACGATGATTAAGTGAAGGACGTTAGTTATTTTGCATTTGGAAGCGGTACATTTAATTGTGAAAAGGCTAAAAAAAAAGTTTTTGCATCGCAATTTGAAAAAATAAACTATTGATGTGTTTCTAAAGGTCAAAACACTCCCTGTATGAACAAATTATTATTATTTTTTGATAGTTATAAACATCAGAGTTATATATTTATTACATACTGTGGGTGTAATTCAATGCTGGACTTAGCTTTAGTCTGCAGAGTAGTCGTCTCCCACAATATTGTTAGTTATCAATTGTTTGCCCCTTTAGCATAACTAGATATTGGCATCAAAGAGCATATATATTATGATCTTATCAGATGACAATTTTAGGAAATTTTTTAGACCCGATTTGAACTAGTTTAATGCCTTTTAAAGTAAAGTATGTTTTCGATGGTTGCCAAGGTTTTGGTTCAGGTTTGTTGACGTTTCGAGAGGCATATCGCTTCCTTCCTCAGAAGAAATCCAGAAACTCGGAAGTCCCAACAATTCTTCTGAAGAAGAGAGTGATGTGTCCCTCGAAACGTCCTGGAATCTAAACCGACGAGTATGAAACCAGTTTGGGAATTGTTTAGTTCTTGACAATTCGTGCAGAAGCGTGTAAACCTTAAAGGACTCGATTTTCTATTAGATATATTAACGCACATGTACAGAAAAATAGAGAATTTGACTTGAATATATAACCCACAACTTGGAATCGAAGGGATCGATTTTATTCATCCAGTAGATAAAATGCCCAAAATTTATTTCGCCTTATAAGCGATGAAGAATTTTGTAAGCCTCAGAATTAANTTAAGTGGGGGCTCAGTTTTTTAAGGGTAATAGTATGTTCCACTGAATACGAATCCGAAATTATTTTTTTTTTATCAAATAAATACTCAAGTTCTTACTTCTTTTTTTAAATGCACTTTAGTACTTGTTTATGCCACCACTGTAATATTCACGTATTATAAATATATGAATTGTAGGCAACTTACAGTGCATTTGAAGGGAGTTAGTGCTGGTCAACGATGATTAAGTGAAGGACGTCAGTTATTGTTCCGCATTTGGAACCGGTACATTTAACTGTGAAAAGGTTAAAAAAATATATGTTTTTACATCGCAATTTGAAAAAATAAACTACTGATGTGTTTCTAAAGGTCAAAGGAAGCCTTTGTATAAATATGACCCCCATTCAAAGTTACACCCTGTATGAACAAATTATTATTATTTTTTTGATAGTTATAAACATCTGTGAGTTATATATTTATTAGATATTGTGGGTGTAATTCAATGCTTGACGTAGCTTTAGTCTGCAGAGTAGTCGTCTCCCACAATATTGTTAGTTATTAATTGTTTCCCCCTTTAACATAACTAAATATTGGCATGACAGAGCATATATCTTCTTAGATGACAACTTTAAAATTTTTTAGACACGATTTGAATTAGTTCATTGCCTTTTAAAGTAAAGTACATTTTCCTGCTGGTTGCCAAGCCCTCGGTTCAGGTTTCTTGACGTTTCGAGAGGCATATCGCTTCCTTCCTCAGATGAAATCCAGAAACTCGGACGTCTCAACATTTCTTCTGAAAAAGAGAGTGATATGTCTCTCGAAACGTCCTGGAATCTAAACGGACGAGGATGAAACCAGTCCTTGACAACTTGCGCAGAAGCGTGCAAACCTTAAGGACTTGGTTTTCTATTAAATATATTAACGCACATGTACAGAAAAATAGAGAATTTATCTTGAACATATAACCCACAATTTGAAATCGCAGCGATCGATTTTATCACCCTGTACATAAAATGCCCGAAATTTATTTCGCCTTATAAGCGATGAAGAATTTTGTAAGCCTCAGAATTAATATGGTTTTTAATAATTTTTGCGATGAAAAAGATTGACCGCAAAAAAAAAAATTCCGCCTGTTTTTGAGACTTTGACAGAGGCGACAGGGAAAATCCTAAAAATATTCTGAAAATAGCCAAATACTTGACATGAAAAATGAAAATGAGCATCACTCAGTTTTTCCAAAATTTTCGAATATCATCCTTATTTAGGGTTTGAAAAGACAAAAAAAAGTGAACAAATTAAGAATCATCAACAGTTGTAAATGATAATAATACAACATTATTTTGAATAATATGAGATATTTTGATATTTTCCTATGATGGGGGTGTTTCCACTGTTCATCTTATGGCTTGTTTTTCATCGAAATTTAGTCTGAATAGTTGCATTATATTTTTAACACTCTGAGACATATCAATATATTTTTTCGAGCATAATAAACATTTTATGTACTTTGTAATTGATAATTGTATTAGGGGTGGTTTACCCTACTTTGGGGGTGTTTTCCATCTGATGTGACAATTGGAAGTTATTCACGTGTCAAATATCAAGTATGATAATCATAAAACAATTTTTTATTTTTTTTCTCACATTGTTTACAATTTTTGTATATTTGGGGGGTGATTTTACCCCTTGAGAAGGATGATTATTTTTTAAAATGATTGGTAATGTATGGGAGTACTTGTGTATAAATTATTCTAATGAATGTATTTCGAAACATTATTTTTTTCATGCATTATAATTATTTTATGTACTTTGAAGCCGATGGTTGAACTTAGGGGTGGTTTTACCCTCATTTAGGGGTATTTTCCTTCGGATCTAGTGATTCTGGGTTATTAACGGTTCAATTATCACATATAAAAGAAAAAGAAAAAAAAAATGTACCTTTTAATATATTTTTTGCATTTTATGCATTTAGGAGATGATTTCACACCTTTACGGATATTAAGGGTTGATTTTCAATCCGGACAAGAGAGTATCAAATACGAAATTAGAAATTTTCACGTTCATAACATTTGGGGTTTTACAACTGTTGATGATTCTTAATTTGTTCACTTTTTTTGTCTTTTCAACCACTAAATAAGGGTGATTTTCGAAAATTTTGGAAAAACTGAAAGTGATGCTCATTTTCATTTTTCATGTTTGGATATATATTTTTAGGATTTTCCCTGTCGCCTCTGTCAAAGTCTCAAAAACAGGCGGATTTTGCGGTCACTCTTTGCGTACAATAAAAGCCATTTTATTGTAGAGATCTTCATATAATTCCCGTGCATTTGAGTAGACCAGTAAGTAGCAGTACTCATCCTAGACTAGCGCTAAGTAGAGCAGAAATGGTCGAGCAACTAATCATAAATCACGGTATATCCACAGATAAACAAAGGTAAATAGTTCCTTTAGCGTTGTTAACGCTTTAAAAATCTATCCGTTTTCGTCTTTTGAACATATAATAATTTTTCGTTTTAGTTAAAAAAACTGTCAAATTTAACTAAAACAAAAAGTTATTGTAAGTTCAGAAGACGAAAACAGATTGATTTTCGAAACGTTAACAACAATTTTTGGAATTGATTTTTTTTTGTATTTGGTATATGTCTGCTTTTTTTTCATTTTTAAAATTTTTTCACAGATGTATTTGTAACGTTTCATGTTACAATGAATTTTTGGCCAAATTGAAGTTTTTTTTTAGAATAAATATAAATTGTGACCCATTTGAAACGGAAACACCCTTGTAAGATTTGTTTACTGACCAATTTAGTTTTTTTTTTGAGAATTTCAAAAATTTTATTACATTACAAAACCCGAACTAAAACTGTTTTGAAATGGGTGTTTCCGTTCAGTACCGCAAAGCATAGAAATCAATAATAACAAATATTTCAGTGGTTTAACCTGCCGCACCCTAGCAGAGTTCGGGTCGAGCGGCCTGCACCACCCAGCAGAAGCGGTCAGAAAAGTCTCCGAGAGAATACTGGTGCTCGTTTATAAAGTTAATCCGCGCTTGGTGAGGAAGCAGCTACCGCCCGACGACGACATAACGAGAAGGAACTTACTATACCGTCAACTGTTCCACGAATTTGACAAGATAGATCTGCAGGTAAAACTTTTTTTTCAGCGTTAACTCCTCATTCGGCAGGTTTAGATGTACTTTGGTCAATGTTTCAGATCTACGAGAACTACTATCTACTGAACTGTAGTGTATACCATTCGGTACACAGTAACAGGGTAACGTAGTTTGTTAATATTTGTAATTTTGCACAAAACGTATATTTCGATAGACTTATAAGTAAACGAGTCGTTTTAAATCTTGAGGGCTGGTAAATGCTTGTAGAATTTTGGAGGCGGCGGATTGGTTTGTTTCTACGGGGATTTTGTGATATCGTTGCTTAATAAAATGCATAATTACGTAATTCAGGATTCATAAATGAAAAATTTTGTATAAACTTGTACTTAAAAGTGCTAGTAGATAAAGTTGAGGCGGAAATATTTGTGAAGTTCGTAACTTCCTTTTTATTTTAACGCTGTTATATTTAGATCACTTTAATTGCTTGGCTTTGTAGGTTTTAAGATCCAGTAGATAGGATATAATTGTGTCCTTACTACGACCAAATTGATTAAATCTGTTCCTCGTCCATATTTAAAAATATTTTCTTATATAATAGACCGATCAAAATAACTCATTTAGAGGGAAAAAAAAAGAAAATTGCTACCTGGACTTTTATTAGTGGAAATGGTAAAGGGGCTTATAATAAACGAAAAAAAAAATAAATAAAAATGCGTGAGCAGTGGCGGCGGAGGGTTGATTTGGGGGGTGGAAAAGTTATGAAAAATTGTATCATTGGGATTTCTGGTGAAAGTTGACGTCAAACAAAAAAGTATCCAATACAAAACTTGTAGATCATGCAAAAATCTACAACTTTTGTAGAGGTTTTTTTCTGATTTTTCAAAAATAATTTAATTTTGACGAAGCTTGGTGAAAGTATCTTCGGATTAATTTTTTTAAATACGTCGCTGCTATTTTTATGACAAAACCTAGTCATTTTTAATTCTGAATTAGAGGATATTAATATTGTAATCGCTTAAAAAATGTTTAGCTTGTTTTAGCTATAATTTAAAATTTTTCCTGAGTACGGCTCTGAACGCTTTCAAAATATCTATTGGATGAAGTCATAACAGTATAAAAGTCAATACCGCACAAAATATCCAACAATTTTAGCAATACCTACTACTTACTATTAGCAATACCTACTAATTAGAAATAATAAAATATTTCATAATTTCGTATTATTTTTTTATTAGGTACAACTTTTTAAATTATGGATTAAAAAAAATTGTTGGATACTTTGTGCTGTATTGACTTTTATTCTCTCTCTCGCTCTCTCTCTCCCCCTCCTCCAATAGATACAGGTATTTTGAAAGCGTTCAGATCCGTACTCAGGAAAAATGTTTAATGATAGCTAAAAACCTTTTTAAGCGATTACAATAGTAATATCATCTAATACAGAATTAAAAATGACTAAATTTTGCCATAGAAATAGCAGCGATATATTTAAAAAAATTTATCTGATGATGGCCCCTCGAAGACGAAATGTCGGATTGCATTGGATAGAGCGAAAAAAGTGGCAATGTAAATATGCAATTTATTTAAAATTCGTACTCAAATAAAGCCAGAAAAAAAATAAAACGATTTTGCAAAATTTCGGATTTCGCGTCAACAGTAGACTTTGCAGTTAATACTTTCTATTGCTGAAATCTCAAATCGTCCAGAGAATTTATCATTTGAGCAGTTGTAATTCGACTTAGATGTTTATAGCAATACTGTACAAAAATAAAGTTTAGGATCAAACAATGAGACAGTTTTTTTTAAATTTTTTTCCATAGAATAGATTGGTGTAATCAGTGTTTGAATGTTTTTTAATTATCAACAATAACTGAAAAATTAATTGTTGCACGTCATTTTTTATTTTTTGCATTTTTGAGTATGTTTTTGAACTGTTATTACAGATTTTTTTATTTCACCAAAAAGTATATGTTAAAATGAAAAAAATGATTACCGACAGAACTCTGTAAGATGATTTTTTTAAGTAGAATTTTTCTTTGAAAAAAAAAAGTGTTTCAGGCCGAAAAAATGAATATCTCAGAAACATCTTGATTTTTTTATCTAAAAAAATTTGTGGTTATTGAAAACACAGAAAGGTATACTTTCACCAAGTTTCGTCAAAATTAAATTATTTTTGCAGAAATGAGAAATAAAAACGAAAAATCAGAAAAAAACCTGTTTTTTGCATTTTTCTCGGAAATTTTAAGATTGTCTTAAAAAGTGACCTCTACGAAAGTTGTAGATTTTGTATTGGATACTTTTTTGTTTGATGTCAACTTTCGCCAGAAATCCCAACGATATAATTATTCATAACCTTTCAACCCCCCAAATCAACCCTCCGTATTTATTTTTTTTAGGTTCATTATAAGCCCTTTTACCATTTCCACTTATAAAAGTCCAGGTAACAATTTTTTTTTTCTCCAAATGTAATTTGGTTGGACTATAAACATTTTTGTGATAAAGTAAAAAAAAAAATATAGTGAAAAAACTATTCGGACACCTTCTATAAAAAAACCCTTTAAATAATAAAAATTTTAGGAGTATTTCAGGAACAAATAAATGCCAGAAATATTCCTGTTTTTGAAATCCAACCGATTTACGATTAAAAAAATGGTTGATAAATAATCGCACAAATCTAGATTTATTATAAAAAAAATGATATGGGCAATACAACGACAATATTAAATTTGTTCACGACAATCGTAACGATTTATTTCCTAATAAAGATTACGTTACGGGATTTTTTACAGAGGAAAAAGGAGATATTGGAGAAGAATAAAATTCTACAACAGAATTCAGCGCCAATCAACAGCTGCTTCAGCCCGGAACCAACCCCGCCCGAAAAGTACGAACTCACTAAATGCTCAAGCTCGAACAACATAAGGAGCATGCCCAATATCTTCAACTACGAAATCGACAACCAGCAAGACAACAACTACGCCTTCACCAAAAACTTAAACCAGAATAACGGCACAGCGAAAACCGAACACGAAAAGCAAAGCTCCAGTTCCGCCAGCGGAATCTCCACCCCGAGCAACAACTCGCAGAAGGAGGACGAGGAGAAGTAAGTTTACGTGAAACAATTCATCTTTCAACAAATATTTCAAATTGCAGGCAATGCATATTCTGCAATCAGCTGGAGAGCGTCATTCTCTCGGTGAGCAATTCGATGAATTCTCATTATTGGAGGTCGTGCCCGATGCTGGTGCGTTGCAAGGAGTGCAGTCAGGTGGTCGAGGTCGCCACTTTGACAGAGCACCTCCTCACCGAGTGCGACCTACACGAGAATTATACTCAGTGTTCCCAGTGCTCGGAGGCCGTTAAGTTGGAGGAGTTTCAACAACATTTGGCGGCGGAGTGCAAAGGTACGTGTGTAATTCGATTTAGTACAGGGCGTTCCACGAAGAAGCGCTCAAACTTTAAAGGGACATTCTTCAGGTAAAAATAAGCATAAAAATCTTATTGTTGCTACTATTTTTTAAAATCTATTGGTGTAGGTCGCTGTGTGAGATATAACCTGCAAAAAAATGTACGTCATCTTAAATGTCATTGCTACTCAATGCCTACTAACACAAAGCATTACTTTGTACCTACCATTGTAGGCTGCTGTGCGAGATATAACCTACAAATTATGTGTCATATTTTAAATGTCATTGGTACTCGGTGCCTACTGGTACAAAACGTTACTTTGTACCTACTGGTGTAGGTCGCTGTGTGAGATATAACCTACAAAGTATGTGTCATATTTTCAATGTCATTGATACTCAATGCCTACTGGCACAAAATATTACTTTGTACCTTCTGGAGTAGGTCGCTGTATAACATATAACCTACAAAGTATGTGTCATATCTTAAATGTCATTGATACTCAATGCTTACTGGTACAAAGTATTAGTTTGTACCTACCATTGTAGGTCGCTGTGTGAGATATAACCTACAAAGTATGTGTCATATTTAAAATGTCATTGGTACATTACTTTGCACCTACTGGTGTAGGTCGCTGTGTGAGATATAACCTACAAAGCATGTGTCATATTTTAAATGTCATTGATACTCAATGCCTACTGGTACAAAACATTACTTTGTACCTACTGGTGTAGGTCGCTGTGTGAGATATAACCTACAAAGTATGTGTCATATCTTAAATGTCATTGATACTCAATGCCTACTGGTACAAAGTATTAGTTTGTACCTACTGGCATAGGTCGCTGTATAACATATAACCTACAAAGTATGTGTCATATCTTAAATGTCATTGATACTCAATGCTTACTGGTACAAAGTATTAGTTTGTACCTACCATTGTAGGTCGCTGTGTGAGATATAACCTACAAAGTATGTGTCATATTTAAAATGTCATTGGTACTTAGTGCCTACTGGTACAAAACATTACTTTGCACCTACTGGTGTAGGTCGCTGTGTGAGATATAACCTACAAAGCATGTGTCATATTTTAAATGTCATTGATACTCAATGCCTACTGGTACAAAACATTACTTAGTACCTACTGGTGTAGGTCGCTGTGAGATGTAACCTACAAAGTATGTGTCATATTTTAAATGTCATTGATACTCAATGCCTACTGGAACAAAATATTACTTTGTACCTACTGGAGTAGGTCGCTGTATAACATATAACCTACAAAGTATGTGTCATATCTTAAATGTCATTACTTTGTATCTACAGAGTGAAGTACTAATCTGTAGGTATTATGAAAGTATGACTTGTAATCACGTTAGGCAAAATAAACCCTGTATCATTAGCAAGTTTTAAATATTGGTATAATCATACAAATTTTGTGAAGTTATTAAAAAAAAACTTGGCAGTCTACATTGTAGAAACAGTGTATTTGCGAATCAAGTTGCTTATTGTTGCTTATTTTTACCTTTACCCTTAACATTTGTGCTCTTCTTCTTGGGACGTTCTACACAAAACAAAAGCAGTACCTTAAAAACTTGCCAAAACTATAAAGAAATGAAAAATTATCATACAGGATGTCCGCAAATGTCACCGACAACGTTTGACTGCACCTTCACGACGACAAATAAATATGATCTACAAAAAAAGAGTTAAATAAAAACTTTTTGGTTTTTGAGTTACAGACCTTTAAAGATGTCAAAAATAAAACTAATATAGTACAGTCATTGATGCTGAAAATCAGCTGTAACTTCCGAATTCTTTGAAACTGCATGGATTTGCATGAAAATTTAGAATAAGGCTCATCTTAGGCTCAAATTCAAAAGTGACATAAGCCCGATTGACGCTTTTTGTTTTTAGGGGTAAAAACTACCCCTAAGTGAAAAAAATTGAAAAAATTAAGTTTTAAGCATTTTATTGAGAAAAATCTTGTTCAAGCACAAAGATTAAATAATGTTCCATGTTCTTGAACATGTTTTATAATATATGTTGATCTTTTCGACCCTTTATTTAACCCTTAAAAACTACCCCTATGCAAAAAATAATGATAAAAAAATTCCTTTTTAAAGATTTGGAATGATTAAATCCTGCAATTATTTAAAATAAAAGTTACCTTATAGCTAATAAAATAATTTTTCCATTTCAACCCCTAAAAACCACCTTGACTCATTGACAAAATTGATAAAAAATTACTTTTTAAAAGCTTTGATGTGCTCAGGATAGTGGACTGTATTAACTATAGTCTTTTAACAAATATAATGCTTTATTGTGGAAATTACACCAATTTGTTTACAGGCATACGTACTAGACAAAGCGTCGCCATTAATCGTCTCGTCTAATCTGCCCACACTTGTGGCGTGTCGCCTTGTACGCCGGTGCGGCAAAACACGGTTTCTCTGATTGCCGATAGATGGCGGACATAGTACTAAATATAACTTTACATGAAAAANTTACAGGCATACGTACTAGACAAAGCGTCGCCATTAATCGTCTCGTCTAATCTGCCCACACTTGTGGCGTGTCGCCTTGTACGCCGGTGCGGCAAAACACGGTTTCTCTGATTGCCGATAGATGGCGGACATAGTACTAAATATAATTTTACATGAAAAATAAGTAAGAGTACAAAACAAGCTTGGAATGCTTTAACGGTGCAATTATTTAAAATAAAAATTCCCTCATTGCCTATGAAAGAATTTGTATCTCATAACACATTTCCACCCTTATAAATCGCCCCTGTGCTAAAAAAAATGATAAAAAAATTACGTTTTAAATCTTGGAATGCTATAATTGTGCAATAATTTAAAATAAAAATTCCCTTATATTTCAAAGAATATTTTACTTTTGCCATTTTCAACTCTTATAAACTACCCTTTTACCAATATTAATGTAAAATATTTTTATTATAATCGATTTTTAAATATAATCAATCATAAAAAAATTGCTACGCTGCATATAAATAATCACACTAAATTTTTTTACTTATTTTATTTGTATAATATAATATAATATATAAAAATGAGAAAGCCTATTTTGCTCCGAAATAAGGACAGTTTTTTTACCATAACTCGGTTAATTTTTAAGCTACAGAATCCTACAAAAAAGCATTTCAAAGATAATTTCAAGAGCTGTAAGATCGTTTGCATATAAAACCTTTTAAGTCCTTCGTTTTTTGAAGAGAAAGGATCAAAGGGCTGGAGACAGATCGTTTTTTCATTAAAATGGATAATTCAAGGGGCGATATCTCCTTTATTTTTTATGCTATAGGAATAAAAAAGAAGTAAAATATTTGTTGAAAAAAAAAAAATACATTTTTGTTGTTTATCATTTTTACGTATCTTTCATAGTTTCAGAATTATATAAATAAGGCAATTTTTTTTTGAATAATGAAAAATACGTTTTCAAATTTTACAGTACATTATTAAAGAAATGCGCATTCTAAACCGGTCTAACTTCAGGATCGTATGAAAAACACTAAAACAAAGCTAATTGTAAAGGCTCTACGATTAATTTTAATTCTGATGGAAATGGTACAGCGTTTACTGCTCATTTTTCCTTAAAAAAAATGAGCAACCCATCTGTTTTTGACGATAACACCATTTTTGCTCTAAATAACTTTTATAAGTGCTCATTTTGAAGGTCTTTTTGAGTACTACAAAAAATTCCAGGAGCGTTATACACGTAAAATTAATCCTTTTTCCGTTATTTGACGTTGAATACATCAATTCGAGTATTCCCCCCAAAACAAGTCCCCTTCCACTAACCATATTTCGCTTTGTATAGGACGTACAACACTTTTTAAAAAACGATTTTCTTTGTTTATTTATAAGCTACATTTTTGTTCATTGCACTTTTTTTAATAAAATGCGTTGTTTTTGAGTTATTCGCGAAAAATACTTTGAAAAAGTGTTTTTTTCACTCAAAATTCCAAGTTTTCAATAGTGAAAAATTAAAAAACTATTGATTTCTCGAAAAAATTCTTCAAAATTTGGTTCTCTATCGATTTCCAGTTATTTTTGAAAAAAAAAAAATTCCACCCTCGAGAAGGCGTGTTAACCCCCAACAGGAAGCGTCAATCGGCGCTATGTCACTAATGTCCATTGACCTTTTCTCTAACTGTCTGCCAAATTTCAAATCAATCGGTTTAGTTTCAAAGAATTCGGTGGTGAAAAGCTTCAATGACTGTACTAACTGAATTAATAACTTTATAACCCTTTCACCGATCACATTAAAATTTGGCAAATTTATTTGAACTATTATTGCATATTATGTATTTCTAAAAAGCTTTAGTCAAATCGTTATACTGATAGTGATAGTTTTCTCCAGTTACCTATCCCTTTTAGTGGTCAAAAATCTTAGTGGTCGTATTTTTTTCAAATAAAAAAAAATATTGTCTCTTGAAAAAATCGCCTACAATAATCAACATCTTATTTTCATCGTCTACTGAACTCAAAGTTTTAAATCCGTGACACTGGTACAGACCTGCCAATAATGCCATCTTTCTCAAAAATGGCTTTCTGTAGGCGATTTTCTCAAGATACAATATTTTTTTAAAATAAATCAACCTTTTCAATGTTGCTGCTCGTTTTAAAAAAATACGACCACTAAAAGTTTTCATCGCTAAAAGGGAGAGGTGAAAGGAGAAAACTATCACCCAGTATATCGATTTGACTAAAGCTTTCAAGAAATAATATGCCATAATAGTCCAAATAAACGTGCCAAATTTGAACGGGATCGGTAAAAGGGTTATGAAGTTATTTATTAAATTAGTTTATTTTATCAACTTTGAAGGCCTGTAACTCAAAAACCAAGTTTTTAATTAACTTTTTTTCCGTAGATCATATTTATTTATCATTGTGAACACGCAGTCAAACGTTGTCGGTGAAATTTGCGGACGCCCTGTATTTATTAATCTTTTTAAATTTCAGCATTAAAGGAGGGTTACAACCGGTGCCCCCTGTGCCACGACAATCTGGAACACGAGGAATTTTGCTGGAAAAAGCACTTAATGGGCGATAATCCTTGCCAGAAAAACACTAGGTTAAAACTTTTCGTCCAGAAACAAGTTAAAATTCAAGTTTAGAGTTCGAGTTATGTTTGGCTTTTAACTTTCCTCACGTTTTTAATTAGGCAGAATAACTTTTATTTCACACGTTAAGTAGAACCTAGTGAAGTATAATGTATTTGTTCCGCAACGGTGGTGAATGTAATGATCGTTTGTTAGTAGAACCACTAGACAGACTGGTTAGAAAGTTGTCAGTTCTCATCAGGTGAGACGACCGACAAATTATCTGGTTATTATCAACATGTTTTCAATTTGGATGACGTATAACCTACAAAGTATGCCATATCTTAAATGTCACTACTACTCGTATAATGACGCATTACAAATTAGTAGGTGGCTCTGGCAGTAGGTACAAAGTGATGCTTTGTACCAGTAGGCATCGAGTAGCAGTGACAATAAGATATACATACTTTGTAGGTCATATCCCACCCTCGCCCACGATTAAAACTGGTTGAAAATTCTCATTACATTTACCGTCGTTGGTTCTAGCTTTAGTAATATTGTTTCACCGAATTGTTATAGAACAGCATAAATTTAAAGTTGAACATGTCCATATTTATTAATTTTAAGCATTTCAAATTAAATTTTAAATTTAATACATTCACTTTTTATTTTACTATAATTATTTTTTCCCCAAGGACCATTCCTAGAAAGAAAAGAAAACATTGCAGAAGATAAGAAATCTTTTACGGAACAGGAAATTGTACTAACTTTGAATTGAAGGGGGTACAAGGAGCGTTTGAATTCAGGCGACTTTTATAGAAAACATTTATTTTACGGAAAGTCAACGATGGGTACTTCCTTTATAAACACTTACCTAATAAATATAAATTAACTCTTCTCCTTATCCTCTACAATACTTTTTTCACCTTCCGCATCCTCTTTTTCACATTCCGGCTTTTGGAACTTGTTGACATCTAAAAACAACAATTGTCAATCTAACTAACTCTCAAGTCGACATTTTTTATCACAATATTAACCCAAACTCGCCAACTATTCAACTTAATAATCGTACGTTCAACAACAAGACTTTAATTAAATATCTCGGAGATACGTTGGACCAAAAACTTAACTTCGATGAGCACAAAATCAATTAAAAAAATGCACCGTCAGAGGTAATGGAGGTCATAATTTAAAACAAAAAAACTTTCAAGAAATACCTTCATAATAAAGCAAAATTATAGGAATATAAAGGGCAGTTGATTGCGGTACTTTATCAATATCAAAGGATTTCACCATACTTAAAATCTGTATATTAACCAAGTACTGCAATCAATGTTCTTATTTGTTCAAAAATATCAATATCTTGGGACTTTACCCACATTTAAAGCCTGTTTGCCACAAAATGACATGATTGCGGTACTTTATCAATATCTAAGGACTTCGCCCATACTTAAAATCTGTAGAGCAACCAAGTACTGCAATCAATATCTTCGTTTACGGCAAAAGGCCAGTTAATTGTGGTACTTTACCAATATCTGTCGACTTTACCCACATTTAAAATATCTATTTGCCACAAAATGACTTAATTGCAGTACTTTATCAATATCTAAGGATTTCACCTATACTTAAAATCTGTATATTAACCAAGTACTGCAATCAATGTTCTTATTTGTTCGAAAATGGGAAGTTGATTGCAGTACTTTACCAATATCTTAGACTTTACCCATATTTTAAGTCCCTGGATTGACTAAGTACTGCAATCAATGTTCTTGTTTGTCACAAAAGGGCAATTAATGCTGGTACTTTATCAATTTCTTGGGACTTTACCCACATTTAAAGTTTCTGTTTGCCACAAAATAACTGATGATTGCGGTACTTTATCAATATCTAAGGACTTCGCCCATACTTAAAATCTGTAGAGCAACCAAGTACTGCAATCAGTTTTTATTTGTTTGCAAATGGGAGTTGATTGCAGTACTTTATCAATACCTAGGGACTTCACCCATATTTTAAGTCCCTGGATTGACCAACTACTGCAATCAATGTCCTTGTTTGTCCAAAATGGTAGTTGATTGTGGTACTTTATCAATATCTGGGGACTTTACCCACATTTAAAGTCTCTATTTGTCACAGACTGTTGATTGCCGTACTTTATCAATATCTAAGGATTTCACCCATACTTAAAACCTGTAGATTAACCAAGTACTACAATCAATGTTCTTATTTGTTAGAAAATGGGAAGTTGATTGCAGTACTTTATCAATATCTTGGGCTTTATACATTTTTTAAGTCCCTGGATTGACCAAGTACTGCAATCAATGTTCTTGTTTGCGCCAAAAGGGCAGTTAATTGTGGTACTTTACCAATATCTGGGGACTTTACCCACATTTAAAGTCTCTGTGTGCCACAAAATGACTGTTGATTGCGGTACTTTATCAATATCTAAGCACTTCGCCCATATTTAAAATTTGTAGAGCAACCAAGAACTACAATCAATGTTCTTATTTGTTCGCAAATTGGAGTTGACTGCAGTACTTTATCAATACCGAGGGACTTTACTACTTTTAAGTCCCTGGATTGACCAAGTACTGCAATCAATGTCTTCGTTTGCACCAAAAGGGCAGTTAATTGAGGTACTTTACCAATATCGGGGGACTTTACCCACATTTAAAGTCACTGTGTGCCATAAAATGACTGTTGATTGCGGTACTTTATCAATATCTAAGGACTTCACCCATACTTAAAATCCGGGGACTTTACCCACATTTAAAGTCTCTATTTGTCACAGAATAACTGTTGATTGCGGTACTTTATCAATATCTAAAGATTTCACCCATACTTAAAATCTGTATAGTAATCAAGTACTACAATCAATGTTCTTGCTTGTCCAAAAATGACAGTTTATCGATATCTAGGAGTTTTATCCACACTTCTCTAATTCAACTTCTAGTGGTTAAATTATTACAAACTTAAAATTGCACATATTGTACATTTTTATTTAATATTCCTAATCACAACTTTTATGATTATTATACTGTTAATATTGCCATCAAATAGTGTTATTAATAGTACCAATGTTCAAATTTCATTAAAAACACTTGAATGCTTCATTAAATCTCAGAAAAAGTTATAAAAACGAAAAAAAGACTATTATCGCCAAGAAAAAAATTAAATAAAATAGTGCAAAATTCCAACTTACTGTACTTGGATATATCTCCACCCAACAACCTCAACAAATGGAAAGTACTATGCCGATCCATATAGCACCGAAGCGAAGTCGTCCCTCTCCAGCCGCTGATATGAATCACAAACGGGGTACCATCCGACTTCTCTTCTTCCTTATAAATCAAGACGCAGCTGCCGGGACCTGAGACGATTCCAAAATAAGTACCGAAATATCCGAAGTCATTTTACGACTCACTTAAGTCTTGGACTTGCTGCTGTAGGCTTTCCGACAAAGTCACTATGGGCGGGGAATGCTGGGGATCGTCGTTCAGTAACAGAGTTATTAAGTCGTCTTTGGGTATGCGTACTTTACGGTCATTTCCGATGTACGGGTAGACGCTCTCCAACCCGTCGTTCGCTATCCTGCAAGGTGTAATGCGACTCGTTTTTATTAAGAACCTGTTTTATTTGTGCCAGTTTTGATGCAATAAATTCGTTAACGTAACGAGTGAAAAAGAGGTTAAATGCACGATTTTAATAAAATTCTCAAATTCATAAAAAAAAAAGAAAAACGTACTCATTAAATAACTAGTGACAAGTAATTACCTGAAAGCGCACTTCATGTTCTTGTTATCACACCTAACAAACGCCTTCACTCCTGTATTAATGAATTTAATAGAACCTTGATTAGTCACCACTAGATCTCGTATAGCTTCGGACGTCAAGTAAATATTTTTCTTTTTACCGACGCGGCACCTCGTCAACAGACACTTGGAATTAAAGTCGTCGGATATCGAATAAAACGATTTGATGTCATCCCACACCGCCTCGTTTTCCTGGAAAAACACGAACGGATCTTCGTTATAGACGCCTTTCTTCCTCTTCTTTCTTTGAGATTGCTGGAAGTTATCTTCGTTATCGCGTTTTTTACTTTCGGAAGGATTCGGTGCGATTTCCGTTTCAACTTCATCCATTTTTTCTTTGGAGTGTAAAGGTTTCAGTTTGCTTAAAACGGCAACGAAGAAGGCGCCAGTATTCTGTTGGTGCGGCAATATTCTTATACTGAAATTAGATACGATACAGACAAAACGGAACCTGACAAGTTTAAGATTAATACCATCGGTTTAAATGAAATTTACTTCTATCTTCAGGCTTGGGGGGGAACATTTGCGGCCTGATTGTTGTCCTCCACTTTTCGTCGACTTCGTCAAAGGTTTTATAAAACTCCAGATTTCTACTGGAGACTAACCAGTCTTCCATGCCTATAAATAAAAAACATATAAAAACACATAAATCAACCTTTCGACACAATCAATTTTGTAAATTTTACCTGGATTGAATTTTAATCCAGGTAGCGAATCAGAAACGTCGATCAGTTCCAACGCTCCGTTGGTTTCACGTAGAAGTCTATGGATAACGGCTTCGTTTTCGATGGGATTTATAGAACACGTTGAATAAACTAATTTTCCACCGACCGCCAATAACTCGGCACCTCGTTTGAGTATTCTTGATTGGACCCTAAATTACGAATATTAGAAATATTATTACCTCGACAGAAACTTACAAGCAAATCTTCTATACCTTACCCGTGTAAATTGAGTCCATTAGCCGCAGTCCACTTTAACCAAATATCTGGGTTCTTCCTTAACGTACCATCTCCCGAACAAGGAACATCGCACAATATTCTATCAAACTGTACCTACGAATATAATTTTACTTGTAAAACTAAATAAAACTGTGTATAACTACACAAACTTGTTGACGTGAACCATCCGGTAAAGTCGCTTGTAAGTTAGGCAAAATGGCGCTGTCGTGATTTATAACAGCAACACAGGGGGAGTTTAGCCTCTTCGCTTGATGAACCAACATGTAGCAACGTTTGTTGTCCACGTCATTCGCAATTACATACCCAGATGGTATGGGTTCATCGTTTGCATGCAGCAGTTCTAAGAGCTGAGCGGTTTTTGAACCTGGAGCTGCACACATGTCCAGCACCTATTCAAAAATAAACCTGTCAATTAATATGGCTTGAAAATTATAACATACAATGAAATTAATTACCTTATGATGCGACTGCACGTCTAAAACTAAAGGCGGAATCATGCTAACAGTTTCTTGTCGTGAAATCGTACCATTCTCAGTTTCCGATATCAAAAAGTTGTGCAATTTATAATATGCTTCGCACCTTCGTATATCTTTTCTGGTTAAATCCATTTGCCAAGCTAACTTGTTCGGATACCTAAGATTATTTATTATTTATCCCCTTTTATGCTTGTTAAAATGATCTATAATTACCATGGTAAGGGGAATATATTTAAAGGTTTTTCACCGCCATCAGTCTGGTTGATGCAATCCTTTATAAGTTGTTCCTCGACGATTTCTAACATTTTGTAAACAACTTCTTTAGAACCTGTAATTCTAAATGTGGCTGGTAAATCTGTCTTGAGAACTCTAATAAATTCGTCAAATTCTTCTTCTTTACAAACTTTCTGAACCTGGAAAACACAGGGATTAAAGAAAGTATAATTATCAACACAACTCCCAAGTAAAAATAAACATGTAAAAGAGTAAATGTAAACACCGCATAGCAAAGCTTAATTAAAGATTTGTGCGCCTCATTTGGGTGAAACATTTTATAGGAACATAGTCCCGTAGATGTAAGAGGAAAGATTTGTATTTTTGTATGTATGTATGTTTGTTACGAATAAACTCAAAAACTACTGGACGGATTTCGATAATCCTTTCACCATTAGAATACTACACTATCCCTGATTAACATAGGCTATATTTTTTATATCCCAAAATGTTTAAAATAAATGTCAACTCGTGCGAAGCCGGGACGGGCCACTAGTCTTAACATAAAGTTATAATAAGTTTTCTCATAGTCACCTGATAATATTTGATGAATTTTTCATTTTCTCTTACGATATCATTGTAAGGTTTACGAGTATCTTTCGACTTTTCCTGGTCTTGCTGTGCCGGCTAGAAAATTAGGTAAGGTTACTTATCAACTGAATATAGAATATTAAAAGTACTTTACCGCTTTGTTATGGTTAAAATGATGATTTTTTCTAAAACCAGGTTTTCGGCGACCCATTATTCTATACAACTTTGAAACGAAAATTGTTGGATTTTTGGTAATTTTTAATAATATTCAGATAGTTCAAGTAACTGAAAAAATCGTGGGAATAACAGTTAACAGTGCAAAGATAACCTAAAACCTAAAACGTCCACCACAGCCACAGAACAGAGCACAGCACAGACGTTGACTTTTAACATAGCACACAAAAGTAGATGTTCTGTCAACCAAGGACCATCAACAGGTTCAGTGATTATAAAAAATTAGATCTGAAAATCTGAAATGAACTACCCCCTAACCAACTGTCACCAAAGTACGCCAATTTTTTTAATTAAAATTAGGTTCATAAGTTAGTTGTTAGTTTAGTACTATGATAAGTACAAAAAGCTTCAGAAATTCAGAATGCAACACATTCCTTGTTAATAAATGCACTTTTTTATACACAACGTGACCTCGAGCAAGACGACCATATTGAAAAGTAGTAGATTCTGTGGGGGTTATATTTCGTTTGTTTCTTAAGTTTTACTGGAAAATTATTCTTTTTTTCGAAAAATATAAGAGTAGGAAATTGAAAGACGAATCCGAAAATATCACGATTTGATAAAGCAGTGGCGTACTATTTTATTTAAAAAAATATGGCACCAATACCCTGTAACTCCTAAATTTTAGGAAAAGGCTTCAGATTTTAGACAATTTATACATGTGTCCCCAATTCCAAATTATTACTTACTATTATTATTACACTTACTAGTTCTTAATTTAAATTTTTTTTTTTTTTTAAGTTTAACACCCTGTATCTTTTTATTGAAGCGTCCTAGATAAAAACTTTATATGAAACTCCCCTTAAAATCACCAAAGACCATGAGGTTCCATTTTTGCTCACTTTTTCTGAATCACCCTGTATATTGGTAAATTACGGAGAGTGGATTTAAATAATAATAAAAAGACTTAAGTGTGACTATGTTATTTATTCAAATAACAATTATACATATTTACACATAGATTTTTAAATAAGACACTATTTTAAAAATATAAACGACAAATGACCTATTTCATATAAAAATACAGTCTTAAATCTAAAACTCCCGTTAAGGAGTTTGCACAATTATATTTACCAAATATTTGTTTTATTTTCCAGTTTCAGAGTAAATAATATAGATATAATAGCAAAAATGTGATAACTGTTTATCCTCGATCTATTCAATCCTGATCCTGGTTTGTGGGCGAGTAACTAGGTGACGAAGGTGAATATCTAGGTGGCTGAGGCGAATACGCGGGAGACGCCGGCGAGTAACTAGGACTCGTAGGTGTATAAGTAGGAGAAGTGGGAGAATACTTTGTACTGTGAGGAGAATATTGAGGAGAAGTGGGCGAATAACTGGGAGAGCTGGGCGAATAGTTGGGAGAAGATGGGGAATATCTAGAACTTGCCGCTGGCGTGTGCTGAGGACTCGATGGAGAATAACTGGGAGAAGTAGGCGAATAGCTCGGAGAAGTCGGAGAATATTGAGGACTTCCACCGGCAAACGACGGTGAAGTAGGTGAGTAACTCGGCGAAGTAGGGGAATATTTTGGAGAAGACGGGGAATAACTCGGAGAAGCCGGGGAATATTGAGGAGAAGATGGGGAATAAGATGGAGACGTTGGCGAATAACTGGGCGATGCCGGGGTGTATCTCGGAGAAGAGGGAGAATAACTAGGCGAAGTTGGAGAATAACTTGGAGAAGTAGGACTGTAACTTGGAGAAGTTGGAGAATAACTCGGAGAAGTTGGACTGTATGAAGGAGACGTAGGGGAATAACTTGGCGAGGTTGGGCTGTAAGAAGGAGAAGTTGGAGAGTAACTGGGAGAAGTAGGACTGTAGCTTGGAGAAGTAGGGGAGTAACTCGGAGAAGTCGGACAGTAACTGGGACAAGTAGGAGAATAACTCGGGGAAGTTGGAGAATAACTAGGACTCGTCGGAGAATAACTAGGACTTGTCGGAGAATATGAAGGAGAAGTTGGAGAGTAACTAGGACTGGTAGGTGAATAACTGGGGCTCGTTGGGCTGTAATTCGGGCTGGTTGGGGAATATCCGGGGGAACTCGGGGAATAACCCGGAGAAACGGGTGTCATGGATGGGGATGTGGGTTGGAAAGCTGGACTGGAAGGACTGTATGACGGTGATTGACCGTGTGGTGACGATATATAAGGAGACATGGCCGGGGACTGAGGTGTCGGGGACCATGCTCCGTAAGCTGGCGACATTCCTGATGCGTCCGAAGCGGCAGAAGGCGAGAATGCCGGACCACCGGGGGTCATGCCGCTTCCCATTAGATCTGCGAAAAAACACATTTTTTTGTTGCCATTATCCAACATTAAAATTTAAACATATTGAAAAGTAAAATATACACGGCAAAATAATAAATTTTTTCAGAATAAATGAAAATCATTTTTTTTTTTGAGATGCTGAGAAAGGAAGAAAAAATGTTTTCCCTCAGAATTGCAAAAAAACTGCCCGAGCGTTTTTCTGTAAATAAGCAAGAATAATAAAAAATGCTTACTTTGTGGCGACCAAGCACTTCCAACATATGGAGTAGCCCCTTGATTCCATGGAGTCATGGCCCCACCGGGGCTCATACTGCTAGGCGTAGCGGCCGAACCGAAGAACATCCCCGAAGTCATATCGCCGCCGTGCGCTTGTGGAATAGGAATGCCCATTTTACACTTCTCGGCATCCAGCAACAGATCGAAACAGCCGGTACCCATCCGAGGCAACTGACCAAGGATAATATTCTCGGACACGCCCCTCATCGGGTCTACTTCGGCGTGCGAGGCGGCGTCCATCAGTACATCGACGGTTTCCTCGAAGGAACACCTCATCAAGGCTCCGGTATCCTGTCTGTTTATGCCGTGACGGGTAATGGCCATGAGATGACCTTTCGCTGTCATCACGTCGCAAAGTAAGGCCAGATGTCGGTAGTTTACGTACAGGCCATAGAACTGCAGTACGGCGTTCATCTCTTTTTCGACCGACTTACGTACGGCTTCGATGCCAAGCACCTGGGGATAATATAAAGTTATATACGGAGTGTTAGAAATTTGACTGCCATAATTTTAAAAGTCAACAGTATTTCCAACCCCAACCATTTCCACAGAAAAAATTGTAAAAGTATCCAAGTCAATGTACAAATAGTTCAGTTAATTAAGGTACCCCAACAATTTTGTGCACAGAATACACATTTTTGAATGTTTATGTTTAGTTTTAATAAAATAACTAGTTTTGTTAGTCAGTAAAATTCAATAAAGTTGATAAAGTGCAATAAGACAACTACAGGACAGAATGACAATGGTGCGTTGCTAGCACAAGGATTAGTTGGTGTTTGTCAATTGTGTTAATCGGAAGTATTTCTGGTTACCACAATTCTGTTTGTTTTTCTCATTGCATTTTAAAATGTTTAGCATAAGTTTGGACGCACAACCGATGTTCATTTATGATCTATTTTAATTTTAATCAAGTATCATTTCGAAAAGCATGCTCTCAAAAAGCATGAGCGTGTCATGTCTTGTGCACCTAATCTGACTTTGTGTATTTGAGACGAGATTATAACTCAACACATTTTAAAAACGGTTAAGGTAAGTTTCCACAGTAACAAAATTCGCTAGTTTTTCTTCACAATGCTAAATCGCATTAGCAGTATCTACAAAGATAATTATTTAATAATACTTTTGCTCCAAAAATTTAGTAAAATAAGCATAAAAGAACCGAGCAAATTTTAATGAGTTTTATGGATGTCCCTAAAAAAGTTTTTTGCTAAAAGTAGAAAATTATAAAATTTGTATATAATGTGTAGAAAATTTCTATTATATGTTCATTTGACCAACAACATATTTTAATTATTTATGTCCTCAAACAATTTTATTATATTGATGGTAAATTTCGTTTTGTTCCGTTTCAAAAGGTCTCCAAAATGCCATGTTGTAATAATATTAGTAAACCAAATATCCCTCTTATTTTTCCCTTTCGCAATTGTAATATGAATGATTAACAGAAGGGTGTCTATAATAAATTAAAATTAACTGAATCACACCAAATTCCGCATTACCGCACTGCACTGCTAGGCGACTAGTCGACAACTGAATTTGATGATGCAATGGACCAGAGAAACAATGCGCATTGCCCTTTGCCCGCACGCTCATTCTTCAACTGAGCGCATACATTTCTACCACCTGCACTTTTCGTTCGACCAGATCTGTATATGGGTATGGCTAAATAAATATGGGAACAAGTTTTTCAAATATTTCAATGCCAAGTTGCTGCTTAGCAATCGAGACTGGTACATGCCTTGAAGATATTGGTTCTTCAATTGACTTCGGAAAAACTATAATTGGGTCTTTTATTTGTAAAAGAGTTTCATTGATATGAAGTCTCAGTTCATTTATTAAATTTTCTCATTTAAATCTCTTTAAAAATATTTTTTATACATTTTTCAGATTTCTGACAATGTCCAACAAAAACAAAATCTGCCTCAAAAGTTAAGATTTGACACTGCAGATATTTTCAAATAATTTTATATTCCAGACCTTAAAATGGTTTTGCGTTCAAGAATGGAAGTTCGACAAAGCAAAACCATTATGCGTTCGAGATGCAAGCAATATTTTTTCGAAAACTGCAATAAAATAAGACAATTGTGCTATATACAACAAATTAATTTATATTCGAGATCGTTTGAACTGTTTCTGAATCAAGACGGTTTAGGAACGGTGACTATCAACGATAGTAACCTAATAAACAATAAAAATTTTATTTGAGAAAGTACTGTCAGAATAATTATATATGTATTGCAATTCATATTCTAAGAGTGTTTAATTCAAAATGAGCTCGGAGTGAAGACAAGCATTTACCAGGGGAAGTATTGGAAGCGGCACAAAGTGTCGTTTTACAATTAATCCCCAAAAAATCTTCGAGACAGTAGGACAACAAATTTAAAGGGTAATGTAGTTCGAAAAAAATTCAAAAAGTGTCCAGTGGTATTAATGGCATATTTTGAACATAAAATTAAACCCTCGACGTTATGATCAGTATATTCCATGTAAGAGAGAGATTTTTACAAGAAGCACCTGATAATAGATTTCTGCTAGAAAAGGTAATTCAAATTAATATAAATCGATCGATTTAACTGATTTTGTACAACTTTTCAGATCATTTTAATGATTGGTGTTTATGGAGGTTTGAGAAGAGACGAGCTACTAAATATAACGATCGATGATATAGAAGACAAAGATTCAATTAGTATTATAAGAATTTCCGATTCCAAAACTCATACTCCGAGATGTTTTGTGATTTTAAGTCCAGACCAAATGAAGATATATCGCAAATACAGTGCTCTACGAAAAGAAATAACAACTTATCACAATTTGCCTCATCCGGAAACTTATACAGGGCACTGCTTTAGACGTTCTTCCGCCACTCTGTTAGCTGATGCAGGGGCCGATATTACCGCCATTAAACGACATGGGAATGGCGTCCTATTATGGAAGTGGAGACATATACAGGGTTATCCAAAAGTCCCGGTACGGCAGAAAAACTTTTGTAGAAAACATTTTGGGAAAAAATGTTTCAGACAAAAGTGTAGGGATTTTTTCCTGGCTATCTGATGGTGACCTTGACTTTGACCTTCAAGGTCATTTGAAGGTCAAGTTAAGTTTTTTAAATGGGAACCCCTATTTTTTATTGCGGATTTGGAGGGGCAAATTTTACGTCCAAATATGGTCTGGATCATGACTTTAACAATGACCTTCAAGGTCAAATGTGTCAAAAGTCCCGGTACGGCAGAACTTTTGAAGAATGCATTGTGGGAAAAAATGTTTCAGACAAAAGTGTAAGGATTTTTCCTGCTCTTTCCAAATCCGCAATAAAAATAGGGGGTTTCCATTTAAAAAAACTTAACTTGACTTTCAAATGACCTTGAAGGTCAAAGTCAAGGTCAAATCCAAGGTCACCATCAGATAGCCAGGGGTAAATCCTTACACTTTTGTTTGAAACATTTTCTGCCGTATAGAAGATTCTATACAAAATAAAATTTACTCACTTTGTTAATTGAAAATTTAAGAAAAACATCGACTTTTGATGACAGTTTTCGAAAAAACTGAGTTGTTTTAGCGATGTCGCTACAAAGTTAATTTAATTTCATTTTTTGCTATAAAATTCTAGTAAAATTAAGCGATAATTTTAGGAATTTTGAGACTATTCTTTGTAAAATTGTTTCAAACTGACACGATGTCTTTTCATTTATTAAACCTTCTCGTTTTCGTTTAAATATCTAAAAATATTCCCCAATTATATTCAAAAAGGAAACTTTCTGCTACAAAAGTCACGACTTTCCGCCTCAAATACTTTCAAATGTCAATTTCATGTCCCTTCCCTTGAAAGAGCAAATTTCGCTACAGTAAAAACTTACCTTTAATGTTACTCATGATTTTTATTCATTTTTTATTTTTTATTTTTTGAAAAAATAATGACAGTGAAATTTCAAACACACCGTATATCTTAATTGTATCAAAGAAGCAAAATGTACTTACCGAAAATATTTCACAAATGTCGTTGGAAAATGTCCTGACTGGATCGACGTCCCTCTCGGACAACACCTTCATCATACTCGTCCCGTCAGTTTCCAGCAACCATTCCGCTATCGCTTTGAATTCTCCCGTTTCGGTAATAACGATGCGTTTCTTCGAGTCCGTCTGGGGCAGGTGCATGTACACCTTGGAAATGGCCTCGATACCCTGCAACGTCATGTCGCTGAGCATGTTGGCCTCGATACACCTGAGGAACATGTCGTCGTCCATCTTATCCACGTCCTCGTCCGCCCCCTCCCCGAACTTCCCGTCGTCGCTGTTCATTATCCGTATACGCAACACCAACTTCTCGGCGTTGTCGTCGTTGAAGATACAGTTGAGATCGTCGCCGAAACCGGCGTTTATCTTCTCCGCGATCTGTTCCATGGTGAGTTTCTTGTCTGTCATACGTTTCCTGTCGAGTTCGATACGCAGCAACCAGGGCGATATCCTGGTCGGGTCGAAATCGGGCATCTCGTAGTACACGTTGACGAACTCCTGGTCCTCGGGGATGACGGTGTTTTGCGGGTCGGGATCGTAGTAAATGGCGGTGTTGGCGGTGACCTTCCTCAAGGTGGTGTGTTCCAGTCGGCAGAGGACGTTCTTGGCTTTCTCTGCGTCCCTAGCGGCAGCGCCCGTTAGGAATACCGTAAGAGACGGAGCTTTCGGTTTCTTGGAGATGTTGATGATTTCCTTGAGTCGGGGCACGCCGAGGGTTACGTTCTTCGAAGATACACCAGCGAAATGGAAAGTGTTCAGGGTCATCTGAGTGGCGGGTTCGCCGAGGGACTGGGCGGCGAGGGCGCCGACCATTTCGCCGGGGTTGGCCTGGGCCTGTTGGAATCGCGTCTCGATTTCACCGATCAACCACTCGAAAGCCTCCGTGCTGAGCCTGAACTCCTCCGATACGCATTTCGTGCACAGGGTGGACCTCACGAGACACTGGAAGAGGAGCGTGGCGTTTTCATTGGCTTGCTTAGAGAGACGATCTTCTCCCGCCACTATTATGCATTTTTTCAGGAGCTCTCTCACGCCCTGTATGACTCTCAAGGGGGAGAGGTCGGTGGGGGCCCGCTTGTTGATGTGGAAGATTTTCTGTACGTTCCAAATCATGCGTTGTAGGTTGCAGGGAAGTACGACTTTCGATTCGCCGCTCGGGAAGATCTGTCTGAGAGCCTCGCGGTCCTTTTGCAGTTGCTCCCACTCCCGTTCCAGCTCGGATATCACCTCGCCAGATCCCATGAGTTGTTTAATGACTTCCTCATTGAAAACCCTGCGGAGGTACTTCTCGTTGCTCGGGTCGAATTTGAACTTCCTCTCGAACGCTTTGTTGCTCAATTTCACGGTCGGTAGCGTTTGAAATTCTACCATCTCGCCGCACAGCCCGTCCTCCCCGTAACGCAACTGGATGAGCTGCCCGACCGAATTTCTGACGGTGCCGTCGTAGTGCACCATCACGGACTCCATAGCCTTTATCAGACGACGCTGGATGTAACCGGTTTCGGCGGTTTTTACGGCGGTATCGATGAGACCCTCACGACCTCCCATGGCGTGGAAATAGAACTCTGACGGGGTCAGTCCTGCAAGATACGAATTTTCTACGAATCCCCTAGATTCGGGACCGTAATCGTCTTTGATGAAGTGCGGCAAGGTACGTTTCCTGAAGCCGAACGGGATACGTTTACCCTCTACGTTCTGTTGCCCCACACAAGCGATAACCTGGGAAAGAAAATAAATTAACGTCTCGTATCGATGGCCATTTTTCTTTTACTTACCTGAGAAATGTTAATGTTAGATCCTTTGGATCCCGATACCACCATAGCCTTTAAGTTATTGTATTCCGTCAAGGATTTCTTGGCAGAACCGCCGGTTTTGTCACGAGCATCGTTCAGAATCCTGTTTACTTGGTTCTCGAACGTCTGACGTAGGGTATTACCCGGGGTAGGCTCCAACTCCATGTTGTGCGCTTTCTGGATGACTTCTATTACATCCTCCTTGGCTTTTTTAATGGCTTTTTGAATTTCCAAGTACGTCTGAGGATCGGCAATTGTGTCACCGATACCGATACTATGACCTGGAATTATTTTACGAATACTGAAACCTGTTTATATTGACCAATTTTTTTAAATTTTAAATGCTAATTTAAAACTACCAAGCAATACAGGGTGTTCCAATTAAAACTTCCCACCTGGAAAATGCCGGAATTAAAACAAAAACCAAAGGTTCAATCGAGTGGCCTCCCAGATCGCCAGAACTAACGCACTTAAGATTTTTTGAACTCACTTAATTTTTGTCGGCGAATTGCTGAAGAATGTCGTCAGATAACGCCCAAACTGCTTCGAAATGTTCGTTCAAAAGTGGAGCAAAGATTTTATTATTGTATGGAAGTGGAGGGTGCCGTTTAAAGTTTAAGGCTATTTTATGCCCCTGCCTAAGGGGTAGCTTCCAAGACATCAAAACTTACGCCATCACGTGTCCCCCTTGAAAAAAAAATTGAGATCTCAGGATTCTTTATTTTTTTAATTCCGATATTTTCCAGGTGGGAAGATTTAATTGGAACACCCTGTATATAAGATATGCAGTTCCATCGTCTCCAATTCTTTGTCAAATTTATTGAAGACAGAAAATTTACCAACAATATTTGTATTACTGTTAATGTACCGATTGGCAATTTTTTTTAAATCACAACTTATGGGGTAAAAAATTGTAGTCATTATAGAGAGCACTTTGGAAATAAGGGCGTTCGTTCAAAGAGGACATGAAAATAAATACATTTCAATAAGCGATCTGTTGTCTATCACGTGATCCAGAAAATTAATCAAGAATTATTACGCGAAACTTAGGTAGACCTTGTATCACCCCATTCTGCTGCAGTTGATAAAGTTATACAAATGGCCGCCTGGAGTCACTGCCGTTTAGAAAATATGACATTTTAGACTATAGGTTGTTAATGAAAATGATTCTTACCTTCCAGCAACAACCAGTTGTTGATTACAGTTTGAATGTTTCCGTAAAACCTCCCGCAGACCTCGTGCCCCAACTCCAACATACAAATGTGAAGCAGAGACCCTGCGGAAGTACCGAGGGTCTTCTTGCACAGGATACCCATGACCAATTCGCCGTGTTCCACCATTACTTTCGTATCTCCGGGCGATATCCACTTGTACGGCCCGTCGTCTTCATCGTCTGGATGCGTGGAATGAGTCCTGATCATGTTAACGTTACCGGGAATGATAAGCGAAAACAACTGTTTTCCCGTCCAGAGTGGTTTCGGCTTCAAAATGGCCGGTCTGGGCATCTTACCGTCCCAAATGGGCAAGAACATGAGCAGATTCATCATCTGTTCCTTCTCGATAAAAACGTCACGTTTCGTCATTTTTCGGACAGCAGTGAGCGTGTCCTGTACGATACCCATGACGGGTTTGTTAGCCTGGGGCGTGATGATCTGCCTGGGCGTGATATGTAAGTTCTCCACTTCGGCCCGAGTTTCCATGCTTTGCGGAACGTGGAGGTTCATCTCGTCCCCGTCGAAATCGGCGTTGTACGGGGACGTACAGGAGAGATTCATGCGGAACGTCGACCAGGGCAGAACTTTCACCCTGTGCCCCATCATACTCATCTTGTGCAGCGTGGGCTGACGGTTGAAGATTACCAAGTCCCCGTCGCGAATGTGTCTTTCCACCCTTAAATACGTTAAAATATCAAATATATGTTTTTTTTTTAAATCTGTGTTGTAACTTCAGGTTTCATGGTTCTGTACTGAAAAACTTGTTTTTATTTAAAACAAACAGAAAATTAACACGGAAAAAAAGGTGAACATTATTTTCAACTACTTTTTTTTTACCGAATAATTTTATTTATCGAATACTTACTTGTAACCGCACTGTAAATGTAAATCGGACGGTTTCGGATGGAACCGAAGATCGATCCTCTCACCGTTGTCCCTTATGATGTATTTCGCACCGGGATATTGCGAATTTCCCCTCTGAACCAACTCCAACATCCTGCACGAAAAAAAAAATAAGAACCCTCGATGGGGCACAAGAAAAATAAACTTACTTATCGAAATTGAACGGCGTAACTATCTCCGGAAACGTCATGTTCTGGGCGATACTTCTCGGAACTCCTACTTGATCGATACGCAGGTTCGGATCAGGCGTGATGACCGTACGGGCGGAGAAATCCACACGTTTACCCATAAGGTTCCCACGTATTCGACCTTCCTTACCTTTTAACCGAGCTTTTAAGGCTTTCAGCGGCTTACCCGACTTCTGCATAGCTCTGAAAAATATTACCGTCAAAAATAATACAAGCAACTGTTTATACAAAAAAACATACCTCGGCATGCCGGGCATGTCATTGTCTATCAAAGTGGCGACGTGAAACTGTAACATTTTAATATTCTCCGTGATTATATGAGCAGCGGCGCCGGCCGCTTCGTTTTTCTGTAGCTCGTTATTCGCTTTTATGATGTCGGCCAGTTTGTGCGTTAAATCGTCTTGATTTCTGGCTGAACCGAACATAACGACTGCGGGCCGTACTGCTAAGGGAGGTACGGGTAATACCGTCACGATCATCCAATCGGGCCGGGCAAACTTGGGGTCCATACCCAGAATGAAACACTCTTCGTCTGAAATCGAGGGAAATTTTAAGGAAAATGACAAAAATTACCGTCAGTGTCAAGAAATGCTCTAAAATAGAGAGAATCTTTGTGAATGCGTATCTAATACGATAATAGACCTCGAAATATGAAATATCTTGAAACACATGTACGATACAATAAGTTAAACTTCAAACACCATGTCAAAATAGAAAAATTATGTCCAGAGCGAAAATTTTCAGATCAATAACAGTCGCTATTAGCACAAATAGCTCAGTATATGACGGTTTTTAGGTACGAATTCTTGACACATTCACCGATTGACGTGAAATTTTAACAGTAAGTAGAAAATTGCTCAAGAAACAAAAGTTACAAAGTTGTGTGCGAATGCCACCACTTCTCGGGGGTGGCAATGAAGGTACCCATTTTAATTGCAAAAATCAATAGAGGGATGAATTCTAAGCAAAAAATGCTCCATAACGTTTTTTCTAGAGATGGGAAAATTCCCAAACTATGGAAATTCCTGGGAAGTTTCCATTGAAAATTCCGGAAATTTTCCGAAAATTTCAAAAATTTTTTTGTGGATTTGGTATTGTGTTCTACATACCATCAGCTTCCCAAAAAGACCAAATACTTATATACATTATTATTTATATTGGTATAAATATTGGAAAAATATAAATATATATTAATCATCCGTTAGAAAAAATTACATGCTGAGTTACAGTGCGTAAACACTACACAGTATACAATATTTATCTTTATTTTTTAACAAACAAATAGTAAATACATTAAATAATTATACTAGTTTTAAAATGTAATTGTACTTTGGTTCAACTATCAAAATACATATTAAATTTGAAAAGGGAGAGGCACTTTATGAGTCTTGTATTGCTCTCTGTTATGTAGATTGTAGACTTAACAAAGATTAGAATAAGTAAGTGTAAGTGTTTTCTAACTTATTTGGATAATATGTTCTGGTATTCCGAATTAACCGAAAATCCGAAATTAACCAACGATTTTTTGTGTATGTTCATAGAAGTTAGAAGTAAAATTGGCTCCAAGTTTACAAATTGTTAGAAATATTCCCGGAAAATTTCCGACGGAAATTTTTTCAGAAACTTTCCAGGGAAAATTTCTCAAGCTTCGATTATTTCTTCCCGGAAAATTTCCGTTTTGGAAACTTTCCGGGACGGAAAATTTCCCATTGCCCATCTCTAGTTTTTTCCAAAAATTAATATTTTCTGAGTTATTTACGACTGGAAATGTAGATTTTTCATCTAAAAAGTGCATGATTTTCAACCAATTTTGATAAATAACTCAAAAACCTTGCGTTTTATCGAAAAACCCATATGGAGCAAAAATAAAGCTTTTGAAATAATGAATCGATTCATTTTTTGTTGATTACCATAGATGTAATAATCACTCTCTAAAGACGATTGTTTATTTTTCGGAAAGTAAAATCGAACCTTTTACCGTAAAATAATGGCGAAAGGACTAATTTTTCGAAGAAATTGAATATATGTATAACCTTTTTTAAAGTGCTTGGAAAGACCTTTAAAATGCTTTTTGAAAAAATTTCGTAGCTCAAAAACTCGTGGAGTTATGATGAAAATAAAATGGTCATCTGATTTTTTTCAGAGAAAAAATCAACAATAAAATCTATGGCTAAAACAAAAAAAAGAAATTAAGCGTAATCCATGTACAGCTGACTTTATTTAGGTACCAATAATAGGCTCTGCAAGTTTGATCGGTTTAGAATGCCTAAATATTAAAAAAAGTTTGAAATAACGAAAAAAAAATATTTTTAAAAAAATTTCCTTTTTTTCGAAATAACTCAAAAACTAAATAAGATATGTGAAAAATACAAGTTCAAATTTAAGTCGTTTTTTTATAATACTTTTGCTCCCTTTCAATTTTTCTGTAGATCAAAGATTAACTGAGATATTACGTTTTTTAGTTTGCATTTGCGTGTAAGGACCACTTTCTTTGAGCCCTTAAAACCTAAAAATCTCGAAAACGAAGAGTTCAACACCCTTCAACTATATAGGTTGATTTGTAACTCTTGCAATTCCCTGCAAATTGCTTTTTGGAACGATGAACAATATTAAAAATTAAAAAAGTTATCGTGAAAAAACGAATTGTATTATTCAGTGAAAATTGTCGTATCGTGTAAATGGCTTAATTTCCGATAGTTTCCGAGGCGTAATACATTGTAATGCGACATGCAAAACATGTTTTGGGAACACTTGCCAAAATTGTCATCCAATCACGGAGTAAACAGAAGTCGACAATGATGATAGTTCTTTAAATGATATGTAAATTTTTGATAAAGTATAATTGTATAATACACAAATAATTTTTATTTTCCCTTTCACTAATTACATAATTTAAGTTTGGAGTTTTAAGTAATCTCGTTGAATTTAGAAATGTATCGTTGAGTGTTTTGAAGTAGGTAAAAATTCTTCAATTCCTCATTAAGGGTTGAAATGTTGCAATGAATCGTCAGTAATATTATAAACAGTGACGAGTCTTTCATTCATTATAAATGCTATGATGTGAAAAAAATGTTTTGCTTAATTTTCTGCAATAAGGGTGGTTTTTAAGGGTTGAAACATTGCAATAAATCATGTATTATTTCATAAACAGTAAAAAATATTCAATGCTTCATTATTGCTCCGTCAAAACATTTCAGAGCCGCGAAAACTAATTTTTGTTTTTTTCCCCATAAAGGGTGGATTTTAAGGGTTGAAATGTTGCTACAAATCAAAAATTATTATTATTATTCAAAACATAAAAGAATGCCTATCTCTATCTTCTACTGACATAACACTATGGTTTTTACGTTTTTTGCAAGAAGGGGTAGTTTTCACCCCCTAAAAACAATAAGCACACATTATGGATATGTATCTTTTGTAAAGGAGGGTGAAATGAGCTTATTCACCAATTTTCATGAAAATCGGTGCATGTGTCAAGAATTCGGAGGTAATACCCTATTTTTACCGTTGTATACTGGACTAAAAAGTATACAAAACCATTTGCGGACCACTCCTTGAAGATAGGCATACTTTTTTCTAAATTGTCGCAATCACTAAAAAAAAAATCTTCGGGTGCTAGAGGCATCGTCCATTAGAAACGTAACCAAAATTTGACACCCATCGAACCCTTTACATGGAATTATTTGAATCTATATGGTTTCAAGACGAACTTTCTTGTACAGAAAATACTGTCAGATACATTTCTTTGTGAAAACTATTATGCAATGTATTGACTGAATCGTTAGAAAACATTTTATTTTTTAAATGTATTGCAAATATCAGTAAAATACTTTTATTATCGTGATTACCCACATTTTAATATAAATATAGATTGAATTATATTTACCTTAACCAATAAAGGGGAACTCTATTATTTATTTAAATTAAATTAAAATTTTCTTCATGCATTCATAAAACACGTTACGATAAACACTTTAAATTAATCTTACCTGTGATATGCTTAAGTATTTCCCAAACTCTCTCCGCTGACAGAGCAATTTTTTTCTCCTGGGTATCCTCATTCACGTGTTTCCACTCAGCGGTCAAGTCCAAGCCCGACCTTCTTATATTCGGTTGGTAACGACCACAACCGCCGTGGCCCTGCTTTTTACCTGGTACTTGTTCCTCACCTTCTTTCCCAACGTCCATCTCGTCTCCACCTTCGCAAATATTTTTACCTTTGCATAAGTCGTATACAAAGGCTAATCTTTTCCTTGGTTGCCCTTTGGATTTCATTACGACTTCTTTTATTTTTGGATTATTCTTAAAACGAGAAATAAAATGGTAATGTTGTCGACTCGAATAAAATTAAGTACTTACCGGGCTAACTAGTAATTTACTGCAAAAGAAACAGACGCAGCGTAGTATTTTTATTGTTTTCGTTACGAATCCTACGTGGAATACAGGCTTAGCTAAGTCAATGTGTCCGAAATGGCCGGGACATTCTGTCATGTTACCGGCACACGTCTGACATCTAGAATTTCTGTCAATGACACCCTGTCTCGGGTCCATAAGTCCACAGAGCTTAGGACGGCCCGCTTCCAAGGTTTCTGGAAAGCGGATACCGCCTTCGGTAACTGACATACGTCTCTAAAAGTAAATAGTCAAGTAACTATTGAAGTAATTATTTTTTGAAGACGTCTACAATGTGTTGAAACATAATTTTCTAAATCTTAAAATTTAATATCAAACAAGAAATATATGTATGTACATATTTCCATTAAGTTTGGAAATCCCACTTAGGAGGTATTTCAAAATATTACAAAAATTGCTTAAACAACCTTTTTTAATTTGTTGTAGTTTGAGATTAAACAACAAAAAGGCATTATCTGTTTCGTTTTCTTGTCTTTATTTTAGATAGTTCTAGTTTAGTATTACTGTCATTATTTGCAATTGCAACTATAAACAGAAAGAAGTGCAACTGAAAATTGCAAACTAAAAATATTTGCTACAGTAGTAGAAGTGCCCAGAATTTCCTATAAATCCGATTTTCCCAAGTTAAACGACTATTTTTTGCCCTTATTTTTACATTTTATGTAGAGTATGTTTGCAAAGACATATACATACATGTAAACTACTACCAAACAAGTCGTTTAAAGTTCATCCCAGTACGTTTTTTATTTAAAAAACAGTACTAGTTTTGAAGACCAGATTGTTATTAATGATTTACTTACAATTTCATCTGGACTAAGGATACCAAACTGTACTCTTTTCACCGTTCTGAGAGGAGCTTTGCTATCTGTGGCTGCCATTTTGACGACCACTTCTAGACTTTCCCGTACTTTCCTGTCATCCTGTCCTCTTCCGACTCGTTTTAGTCGTTTCAATGTTGTCGCTGACGCAGTACGCAGTAGTAGAAAGGGACGCGATTGGTGGAAAAATTTTCCACTCGAGAAGAATACTGTTAAGATTCTTAGATTTTATCCACGAATTTAGGGAGGTTAGGCTATCAACATCTAGAGAGCACCTTAGTGGACGAAATGCAATAATTTCAATTCTTTATTTTTTATTTATAATAAAGCCATTATAAGTGAGATGTGGTATTTTCCTCTTTTTAGTACTTAAATAATAAGATTAAATCTTCTATATATCTTTACAGGATGTAAAAACTAAATATAATTTTACTACCAAATTGGTTAAAAGAAAAATTCTTAAATGTTATTTAAACTTATTTCTACAGACAATGAAACACGCATATGAAATAATTTTGCAAATTTTTGCGTAATAACTCAACACCTATTTTAATCTACAACAGCATAGACAATTGAATTTTGAGTATCTTTTGGATAGTTCCTTCATAAATTATTATTATAATACGGAACGACAAAAAATAGTGAAATTTGTTTGTTCAAAACATCAACAGATGGCGCTGCTTTTGTTCGACTAAGATGGAAAATACGTCATAATTTTGAATGTGATTTGTATTCTATGTTCGTCCGTTTATGTTTATATTGTTTTGGCATTGTATGTGATTGTGACAACCGGCTTCAGTCTGTAGTTTTTTTAAAGATATTTTAACGTACATTAGAGTTANACAAACGTATTAACATATGACAAACGTCAAAAGTACATAAACAAGGGTCAAAATCAAAACAAAATGATACCTGCATTACCTGCGTTTGAAATCACAAAAACTAAATAGCACCATCTTACGATATGGAAGCCGAAGTTACAGTGGAATGTTAGGTATGCAAATGGTATAGGTTGTTGTATATCAGATTTCATTCTATGTTAATATTCCATTTTCTATGTGAAACAATAAAACGAGTTTCCTTATTAGACTCACTGTAAAATAATAGATGTCGCCCGCTTCGATGTACGCGCTAATATTTCAGTTGAAGGACACTACCACATCAAACAAACAAATTTTCGTTATATTTTTATTAAAAAAATGTATATAAGTGCAAAATAAATATAAAATGCGTTACAGTATGTGATTAAAATAATACCCCTTTTAAAACGTGTTAAAAAATCCTACAGTTGTTATCGCAACCCTGCCGCTCTCAGTTCAAGTAGAGCGCTCTGGGTTATTATACCGTGATTTTTGTTGTAACTGTTAAAAGAAGTGTACAGGTTGTTCTTCGAAGGAATGTATCTCCGTTTCGGTACTTCACTGCTCGATTTCATGTGAGCGTTGTGAGCGTTGTGAGTGTTGCAATCTCCCGCGGCCTTCGTCGACTGAATTCTGTGGTTAGGAGGCAGTGTTACGTTTTGCTGGTTGATCACCTTGGAATCGGATCTGATGTTCGCGGTGTGAAGCCAGTGGGTCTTCTGTTGGTTCATTTTAGGCTCGGAATGGGACACATACCTTTCCTTCAGGTGTACGTGGGATTTTATGTATTTCTCCGCGTTTTTGGTAACCTTCGAGTAGACTTCGGGCACTAAAGTCTTTTGCCTGACCGAAACTGATTTGATTATCGGCCTCTGGTGGTGGGTGGACATCAGCTCGTACAATTTGTTTCTGTAGTCGTCCACCGAGAGCCGAATGTCGTCGTTCAATGGTATTATTACGTTGGTGTGCATGATGATTTCCTGGTCGGAGTCGTGGAATCTGGACACGTAGTCGTGTTCTAGGGCCTCGTCGGCTTTTAGGCGCTTGTGCGGGTTAAACACGAGCAGCTGGCTTATGAGACTCAGGGCGCCCGCAGGAGCGGATCCTAACACCGTTTGCAGTGGTATTTTCTGTACTGAAGAAGCGTTTTTGATCATCGAGGATCCTACGCCAGACACGCAGACGAGATTTATATCTAAAAAAATAAACACAGTTTTCTACATTTTTATTACGATGAAGTTGAACGTTTTTTTATGAACCACTAAAAAATATTTCCTAAAAGTAATCCAAAAAACCTCAAATTTTGACCTTTGATCCCGAATAACTTTTTTGGCACACATGGGATCGATGGGGACTTTATTTCTAATAGTGTACTCAAGGTCTCCAACAAAATTTAGCTCTGTCGGAATTTTCGTTATTTGAAATGTCTATTTTGACCGGACTATTAAAATTAAATTAAAAAGTGGTCTCGTCAAAATTGAAAATTGCTGGGATACAAGTTATTCTTGGATTCCGATCATAAAAACCCAGGCAGATGGAAAAAATATGATGTAATACCGGCGAAACAGACCTTTATACTCGTATGCAATTGTGTGGCGGTACTAAAAGCATTTCTACAAACCTTCTACCGTTGGCGTAGGGATTGTGGCCATGATTTTCTCCACCTGGTTCACCGTAGAAGTGCCCGGAAAAATCGGCTTTCCTATTGACATTTCAGCCAGGATGCAACCCAAACTCCACATGTCGATACCTTTCGTGTATCTGAAAATTTGATTTTCTTTAGAGTTTAACGTAAGTTTTAGATACGATTTGAAAGTATGTGGTTTTAACGTACTTCCTATTTGCAATTAAGATCTCAGGAGCTCTGTACCATCTCGTGGCCACATAATCGGTCAAAGTTGGATCGCTATCGCCTATACTCTGTTCCGAGCCTTGGGTCAATGACCGCGCCAAACCAAAATCGGCTATTTTGCACCTAAAAACGTCAAATCAAGTGAGAACTTGGACAAGTACGTTTTTTATTAAAAAACCTGAAAATCGGAATATGAAAAAAGTGGGTAAATCAAATAGTACACTTACCGGCACAAGCTGTCTAACAGCACGTTGCTAGGTTTCATGTCTCTGTGTATAACGTTTCCAGAATGAATGTACTTAATAGCTTTCAACAACTGATACATGATGTACCTCTTATGGACATCCTTTAATATATTCCCTCTTTTAATAACGTTGTGTAAATCGGTTTCCATATATTCAAAACCAAGGTATATATCTCTATTATTGGCCGCTCTAAAATGCAAGATTTTTTTTAATGTAGACGCAAATTGATTACTTTGTTTAATCTTTCTGTCGATTGAAAGTTCTCATATTTTTTTAAGACAACAAATATTTTTGTTAGTATGTAAATCTTTTTAACAGTTTTAAATATCAATTTAAAAAAGAAAAGTTATCGAATTTAAAATCGTGTTTAAATCTTTGAGGTGTAGATGTTGGTACAGTCATTGAAGCTGAAAATCGGCTGTAACCTCCGAATTCTTTGAAACTGCATGGATTTGCATGAAAATGTAGAATAAGGCTCATCTTAGGCTCAAGTTCAAAAGTGACATAAGCCCGATTGACGCTTTTTGTTTTTTAGGGGTAAAAACTACCCCTAAGTGAAAAAAATTGAAAAAATTAAGTTTTAAGCATTTTATTGATAAAAATCTTGTTCAAGCACAAAGATTAAATAATGTTCCATGTTCTCGAACATGTTTTATGATATATTTGATCTTTTCGACCCTTTATTTAACCCTTAAAAACTACCCCTATGCAAAAAATAATGATAAAAAATTACTTTTTAAAGATTTGGAATGATTAAATCGTGCAATTATTTAAAATAAAAGTTACCTTATAGCTAATAAAAGAATTTTTCCCTTTCAACCCCTAAAAACCACCCCTATATTGACAAAAATGATACATTTTAAAAGCTTGGAATGCTTTAACGGTGCAATTATTTAAAATAGAAATTCCCTCATTGCTTATGAAAGAATTTGTATCTCATAACACTTTTCAACCCCTATAATTGTGCAATAATTTAAAAATAAAAATTCCCTTATATGGAAATGGATGCAGGGGACAATCGACGGTTTAAAAAAAATACTCGTGGTGTTTTCAGGAAAATAATGCAGGTTTCTGAAAGAATATTTCAACACATAAAAGGTATCTTGTTCGATTTTCAAATTTTTCTGATAAATCATATTGAATCAAATAAAAATAATAGAAAAATTATTGTTATATTTAAGAAACTGAAATTTAGAATTGGAATCTGGAAATCTCGTATTAATCTGTTTCTTATTCTAACTAGCAAAATTTATCAAGAAATATTGGCATTTTGTATTTTCTTTTGATGCGATTTTGCTGATGGATGTATTGGTATATTGGAAACTAGGTATTATAGAAAGGAAAAAGGAAAAAAAGGTTAAATGGGAAAAATTTTAGACAGTTCTGTTGTTAACTTAATGGTGCTTGCAGACCTATCCTAGCTCTTCAGGTTTTTCAGTTATTTTGAAAAAACTGTGAACGTGGCGTTTTCGAAAATCGGCTGTAACTTTTTTATTTAGAGTAATTTTGAAAATCTGAAAACACTGTTTCATAGCAAGTTTTTTCGAGAAATTTCACTGTACATTTAGATTTTCATTGCGACGTTTCGATTGCGAGAAACCGTCATTAACTTTCTTTTTTTCTTAGAGGCGCTATATTGAACTTTAAGCTGAGCAAATAGAGCATTTTTTGGCGTTTCAATGATATTATATAAGTAAGAAAAAAAATCAAAAACTTTAAAAATCAATATTTTAATATATTTAACAAATCTGACAACGCCGCATAATTTGTCCAAACTCTTATAGAACAGTCTCAAACTTTTTAAAGCTTATCATTAATGTCATGTGAAAAAGTGTTTTCAGATTTTAAAAATTCCTCTAAATAAAAAAGTTACAGACCATTTTCGCGGCATTTACTTTTTTTTCAAAATAATTCAAAAACCTGAATGGCTAGGACCGGTCTGCAAGCGCCATTAAGTTAGCAACAGAACTGTCAAAAATTTTCCCCATCTAACCATTTTCTATCTCTTCCACAAAATGGTCCTCACTGTATAGCCAAATTTTCTCAAAAAAAAAAAAAATGGATTATCAAAATTAGATACCTTTCTTATTTTATTTGAATGACTAATGTATTACTTTTCCAAAAATATCACGAGCGATCTTTTTTAGATAAAAAAATTTCTATTAGCACCTGCAAATTAAAAATAACGTGTATTATGTATGATTAGAATATTCAGATATTAGTAATTACTGGTTGATGAATTTAAAAAGTTATTTTGTTGTTACATTGCACATAATCTATTCAAATATTCTGTTACTTATAAACAACGTTAATTATTCTTAAAAAAAGGAGATAAATCCAAATACCTGTGAATACTGTGCAGTTTAACTATATTAGGATGGCTTTTAAACGACTGTAAAAACATGATCTCCCTGAATGTACGCTGAGCGTCAGTCTGGTTCCGGAAAGCGTCGAAGATTTTCTTCACAGCCACCACTTCCTTCGTCTTCCTATCAATCGCCTTCCACACGATCCCGTACGCCCCCTTCCCCAGCCTCTTCTGGATGTCGAATCTCTTCATGATGTGCTCGTCGATTTCGGACATCTTATCCTTTGACTGGGCCATGCTGCCTGCGCCGGGTTTTTAAAATAACCAGATATATTCAAACGGTGTAATAAACATGATTAAATCAATATATGAATGATGTTGTCATTCTGACGCGTGCCAGAGTTTTTTTTCTACGAGGACAGTCTTGATTCTAAGCTACGTCCTGTAAATAATAGATCTTAAGATGTATCACGATTCTTTGCTTGATATTTGGATGATTGCACACTAATCCGAACTACTTGGTACTTCTCACAGTAAAAATCACAGAATGTTTAATCATTAGGGTGGTAAATAAAATAATATAGTTTGTTTATTGGCCATTTTATGCATGTCGGTGTTGTCATGGCGACAATCAATCGGATAGGCATTAGGGGAGGTTTAATATCCATATTGTCAATCAAGCGAAACGTTTGAATATCTATTTCCCGTAGAGACATCTATTGTTGCGTTGGAAAATGCATTAAGTAGGTCAAAATGCGGTGAAACAAATTATCTACGTCTTCAATTATTAATGGGTGGGTCAGGTACATTCAAGTTATTATTGTCCTCGACAGTTCGATACTACTAGACTCAGTTCAACATTATTTAGAAGTCTTCATTAAAATGTTCATTATCTGCTGTGATTTTTATAACATGTTCTTCTTTATTATAACTGAGACCTTAAAGATATATTTAAAAAAAAACGATTTTTTAAATTATATGTAACGAGCGTTCAAATAAAAACGTGGTCGAAGTTGGCTCTGACACATTGGACGTAGGGAGTAGCTTATAGCGACCAACTTAACCTCATTTCTCAACGAGCTGTATAGCAGCTGTCAGTTTCAATAACGTTAATGCCTATATAACTTTATTTTAAAGAATAATCGTGATAACAATAACAAACAATTAAAGGAGCTGCGGAAAGTGTCCCCCTCCTTGTTATAACAATAAATTAAAGCAGCTGCTGAAAGTGTCCCCCTCCTTGTTCCAAGCACTTTCCACACCTGTTCCTCAAAGAATTAAAGACATTTTCTAAGATGCTCGGGGTATTGTTAATTTCACGAATCTTGTCTATAAGTCGAGCCTGCAGATGGTTTAAATCAGGAATAGGCAGTTCAAAAATAGTGTTTTTAAGGTAAGGCCACAAAAAGAAGTCACACGGCGTAATATCACATGACCTCGGTGGAAATTCATGTTCAGCATTGAGACTTATTAGTCGATTTTGGAAAACTTCCCTCAACATATTCATCGTCTCGCCTGCCGTATGTGCCCTTGCGCCATTTTGTTGAAAGTAAAAGTTTGTAATTTCGTTTTCTTCCAGCTGGTTAACAAAAGGTGCGATAATTTCTTCTCTATACCTTTGCGCAGTAAGAGTACCATTAAAAAAAATAGGTCCATAAATCCTCCTTCGATTGAGAGCACACCAAACTCCAATTTTTTTAGCGTGGAGAGCAGAGGGCCCTCGACAAAAAAGTTATCTGGTTTTTCAGAAGACCACATTCTCATATTCTGTGAGTTTACGTAACCACTTAAATGAAACCAGGCTTCATCAGAAAAAAAGGTGATATTATGAAGTTCACCGTAGTTGTTTAAAAACCATTCACAAAATACAGCCCGTAGCGGAAAATCAACTTCATGAAGTTCTTGCTGACAAGTTAAACGATAGGAGAACAAACGCAAATCTTTTTTTAACACTGTGTGGCAGGTACCGACTGATACTCCCACCATTTGTGATAAAATACGTACAGAAGTTCTTGGCGCATTTTCCATTATTTGTTGGACATTTTCTTTTAATTCTTCAGTCCGCTTTTTAGGTCGGCCGCTTCCTTCTTTTCTTGTTACACTGCCCGTTTCACGAAAAACATTAACACAACGCTGAACTGCACTTTGAAAAATTTTGTACTCAACAACGCCGGAAAATTGATTTTGAAATTCTATGAAACATTCCTCAATAGAATACTTCCATATTCCATCAATCTTGCGTCCATTTCTAAAGTAGGACTCTATGATAAACACTTTTTGTTCTTGAGAAAACACCATTTTAAACGCTTTTTAAAACGAAAATATTCAAATTGATAGCGGCGATATAGCGCTTTGACAGATGACGTTTAATTTGCTATACGCTACGCTACGCCCTACGTCCAAATTTTCAGAACCAACTTGACCACGTTTTTATTTGAACGCTCGTTATATTAAAGTCAGTGGTTCTCAACGGGTTTTCTATAAAAAAATTATGTATATTTAATTTAAATTAAACTTTTTTAATTCAAATTTCTTCACAAAAACAACAATTAATTATGTGTACCGTTGTTTAAAGTAGAGTAGATGTATAAATTGACTGAAGACAATTTTTTTAATATTTCTTTGAGTTTTATTAATTATTATAAAATATCGAAACATTAAGAGTTCGGATAGGCAATAACGACATTTGCTGATGGTTTGCATGCACGATATTTGTAGGGGAATGATTAATATTAATCACGGAATCTCATTACGTTTACCCATTTAAATTTTTATATTTTCTGTAAATTCCCTAAATTCCTTTTCTGTTCCCTTCATCGCCATCTCTCGTAATTTGTTTGCAATAGGTAAAAATAAATCAATACAGTTCTTATTCAGATAGAAAACTCCTATTCTAGCCCTTCAACGGCAATTTTATTGTGATATGTAGCTTGTAGATGTCACTACCGGTCATCAACTTCCTTGAGTATACAGGGTGTATCAGGATTAAGTCGACAAACTTTAAGGAGATATCCCTCATAAAAAAAATAAGAAAAAATCAAGTATAAATTCTTTTCCAGAGCCGCTTCATTTTCGAAATATAGGGCGTTAAAGATTTTTTTTTCAAAATTCGAATTTTTTAAATAACTTCTAAATGAAGAAGGCTATTTAAGCCAAATTTGGCATGACACATCTTCTTATGAGATACTATTTTTCCATAGAAGTAGAAGTCCCGCAAGCAACCAGTGGCGGAGTTATGGGGACTCAGACTCATTAAATTATAAAAAAATTAATACGGCCCTACTGAAAATAAAAAATTATGCTGTTTTTAGATAGGACAGTTTATTATTGACAAAAAGTGTACATTCACTTTGCTTCCTAACTCTTATAGGTTCATGGCAAAATTGATTTTTCGGTAGGGTGCTTCTGGATTCTGTCGATAAACTTTAAAATGAACCTCAACAAAAATTCTCGAGTAGGCTGCTGTCAAGCAATGTTAATTTGACGTTCTAATTGTTACTTTGAAATTGTTGCATAAATTATCCATTAGATAAAGCGTTCAGTTCAAACTAATAATAAAAATAAGTTTAATAATGCCGTCCATGTTTTCCAACAATGAATATGCTGATATGGTCTTTGTATATGGTTTTTGTTCTATCTAAAAACAGCATCATTTTTATTTTCAGTAGGGCTGTATTAATTTTTTTTATAATTTAATGAGTCTGAGTCTCCATAACTCCGCCACTGGTTGCTTGTGGGACTTCTACTTCTATGGAAAAATGCTATCTTATAAGAAGATGTGTCATGCCAAATTTGGCTTAAATAGCCTTCTTCATTTAGAAATTATTTAAAAAATTCGAATTTTTTTAAGAATCTTTAACGCCCTATATTTCGAAAATGAAGCGTCTCTGGAAAAAAATTTATACTTGATTTTTTTCTTATTTTTTTATGAGGAATATCTCCTTAAAGTTTGTCTACTTAATCCTGAAACACCCTGTATAGAGGAAGAAGACTTATAAAGAGCCATGGTTTTTTAACATTTGATTTTATTAATTTATTTTTTTTAACAATCTAAAAATAAACAAAAAGTAGTTTAAAGGAAAATGGAAAAACCATTTTAAAAGTATCACACTGTATATGTGTAATGAGAACTAGTAAAACGACAATTCATGAAATTTATACAAAAACACAAATTTTTAATAGCAAATAAAAGAATATTACAACTTTTCGATAGGAAGGAATGTGTTAAAAAACTTTTTTATACGTATCAAAACACCACAATAGATATTAATTTTAAATATCTTAATATTATTAACAAAAAATCAATGTAGGTATATGAAAATGTATTATTTTTTCTTTTTCATTTTGTAAAAAGTAATTTTTTAAAAGAGATAATTATACTCATTACTAAGTAGTCACTAAAATAATTAAAATTTTGATGTAAAGTTAATCAGAGTTTAAAATATTACTAAGAATGTGTGCGTTGTTTATGAGACATCCAACCAACGAATTGTTAGAATTCGTTGCATCCAACAATAAGTTTTGACATAAGCCTTCTTTGAGAAAAGTCACTTATTTTATACACCGTAATATTGTAAGAGTTTAATTGAAAGCCTTTTTTCTCGAAAACCGTCCACATTAGGAAGTTCTAACAAGAGTATATTATTTTTAGAAAATAAAATTATACATTAGAAATTGGAGCCCGAATGGTAAAAAACCTAACCTTAAAAAAATTAGAACATAAAATGTAATAGGAATGTAGCATCACTAACACCTGTATGAAATATTAAAAAAATGAGACCAGCGTATTCTTAAAAAACCTCGGAATACCAAATTTCATAAAAATATTTCGCACCGTTTGGAAATTTTAGTAAAAATTCTATTTAAAAGATTTTATTTCGTCGTTCTGTATCTCAAAAACAAGATGATATAGACATATAGTCCAAAAGACAAAAAATTCTTATTTTTTGTCGTACTATCACGCCCTGTAGTTACGGGAGGTCTTTCTGAAACACCCTGTATAAAAGTTAACTAATTAAATTATGGTCCAATTGACTAAATATTTCATCAGTTTTGTCATTAACGCAATTTGTTTTTTGTTTTAATTTAATTCTCTTGTTTGGTCAAAATTAAATATATATTTTTTTTCTTACATGATTATTTATTTGGTGTTGTGAAACAAATTTTAGTATATTTATGGCCTTTTAATCTGTTCTCTAAATTTATATATTGACTATTGCTATCATTACATGATATTGAATAAACATACGTAAAGGAATTTTGCTTTTTATATGATATACAGTTGTATATTACCTCTCAGAATTTCGA